CAGTATCTGTATCAAAATACAGAATGAACAGTGATCGATCTCAAAAGAAAAACGGATCCTTGAAAGTTCCGGTGCCTAGGAGAAGTAAGAATCCCCAATAACAGGTCACACCTGCTGACCCGCAGTGAGCCTACGAAACTGAAGCTCTCTGAAATTAATTAATTCTCTGCTCGTCCATCCGTTTTTCTCAGACTAGCCAGCTAAAGATCTATGTACAGTACTCCACATCAATTAATCTAAAGAATTTGAATTATCATTTTATTTTCTTTTTGAGTTGTTTGCTATAGTAGCCTTTACAGTTACCTAATTTCAGAATCAATAGAGCATGAGAGCCAATTAAATTTGCAACATCAATATAATTTTTTTTTCGTTCTGAGCACTTTTGGACGCCACCAATGGAGACAATTAGGGAGAAATTTTTGAAATTGAACTTCCTGTCTTTCAAACTGAAAATCTCAGGTTGATATTTTGAAACAAACATTTGTGACATCAGTCTGGGATCTTATTGGTTATACCATTTAGTTAAGTACTACAAAAATTCAGTGTGTCTGCTTCTTCGCTGATGACACTGGAAAAAGATATGCATGCCTACTTTAATATCATCATTCAATGCATTTTTTGTTATTGTACACTGTACATATTCGATGAAAGCATGCTAACCGCTTTTCAGTACTTTCAGTACTTTGATGGCATAAGGCGATACCAATGGATACCATGCATGATTGCATGTACTTTTAATGTACAAAGAGGAGTAACTCTTTCAACGAACTCTTTTTAGCCGGGCTTATTGCTCAAAGAGCAATTGCCGGCTTATGTGATCCTGTTCAAGGCAGGATGTTGACCCCATAGTCGCCATTTTAAAGTTACGTGCAAAAATATAGTTCTTACTCTCAACCGCTTTTGAGATAATACAGACGCCAAATAAAATGAAGATTTATCTATATAAAATAAACATTAGTAGTAATGACTTTGAAAACTTCATAAGTCAAAGAACATAGTTCATTAGCGTAAGGATTTTTGAAAATCAGTGTTACCGTAGTTCTCTACACATATGAGGTAAAGCAGGAGAGGAAACCAGACTTTCCTGTTTGTTTACATTCAGCTGCGGTACCAGGTTAATTCTGATTCTGACAAAATCGGACCGTGGTATTAGGATTTAAAAACTCACTGTCAGTGTCTTATCATTTATATTGATAGTTTAAAAAAATCATCAGAATATAAAAGTGATTCGTGTCAGAAATCCATTCTACTCTGTAAATGAGCCCGGCTTTCTGTACTTCTGAGTACTTTGATTTTTTCCCCTGTATTTTAAAAAGATATGTATATTGTAAACGATAGAAATGTCTTTGTTTCGGTTTATCTTTGAAAAATGATAAACCTATACGTGCAGTTTTGTATAAAACAATAACATTATATGATCCAAATTCACAAAAGTAGGATTGGTAAATTTATTTTATTTTTTTTTTGCAAACTACGAAAGCCCATTGAGTTCATTTTTGTAGGTAAAAAAAAAATACAAAATATATAACGTTATCTAACGCAAAACTTTCGCAACATAACGCGAAACTTTCGCGAATAAACGCGTAAGTTTCGCGTTATAACGCGTAACTTTCGCGATATAAAGCGTAACTTACGCGTTATAACGCGAAACTTTCGTGTTATTTCGAGAAATTACTATACGACCATGAACGCAGACTGGAACTTCTATCAATTAATGAATTTATTTATAAAATATCATTTCCTCAGAAGATGAACTGGAGAAATGATGCGAGAATATTTCCATTTCTAATCTTTTATCACTGTGATAACACTTTGAAAGTTAGCGAAGTTGATTTCTTGATAATTCTACCGTAATGTAAATTATTCAGAATGATAGGTCAGGAGCTAAGGAAGCCTAATAAGCATGCAAACCTTGTGCGCATCTGTCTCTGTGTCTGAAGCTAAGGAGGCCAAATATGCATGTAAATCTCGTGCGGCTGCCTATGTGTTTGACGTCAATGGGCGAGGACTATTGAAATTGAGTCCTTGTGTAATTTAAATCTATGTCTACATTTTAAAAGTCTAAATCTACAATTTTATTTCACAATGAAATGAAAATATAGGGAATCACTGTCTAGTTAGCATAATATGCCAGGAACATCAACGATTGTGGGAAATATGGGATAAATTATGCATAACGGGCTTTGCCCGTTATGCAAATTATCCAATGTTTCAATTACGATGATAAATATAACTTACTTTTTAGCTAACCTGAGCTGAAAGCTCAAGTGAGCTTTTCTGATCACCCAATCTGCGCCGTCCGTCCGTCAATCCGTCTGTAAAAGTTTCACATTTTTTACTTCTTTTCAATATCCACAGGGCTGATTTTAACAAAACTTCATGTATAGGTGAATGAGATTTAAAATTGTCAAAATGAAAGGTCAAGTCCACATACAAGGGGGAATAATATCAATTTCAGTTAAGTGTGCAGTTTTGCATTACGTCACAACTTATGATGACAGCTGTGCTCAAGGTAAAATAGTACACGCCTCCTAACCGCAAGCTTTACGACTGGGCGTTTCTTCTAATCCCTGATTGGTTGCTCCGTGGGTTGTTTACGCTTGATGTATCTGTCGAAAAAGATCGCGACGTAATGTCGAACTGCACACTTGACTGAAATTGCTAATTATCAAGAAAAGACAAAAATATAATGAAGTCATTATAAACACAATATGGAATCCAAGTTTTACATTGAAATATAGGGGAAAAAACTTTTAAAATCTTCTTCTCTATAGAATCAGGAAACGAGAAATGCTGAAGTTTATCTGGAAGCATCCTGGGGTAGTGTAGATTCTAAATTGTGTAAATCATGGCCCCGAGGGTAGGACGGGGCCACAATGGGGAATCCAAGTTTTACATTGAAATATATAGGGGAAAAAATGTAAAATCTCCTGTAGAACCACCGGGCAGAAAAAGCTGATTTATGTGGAAGCATCTTGGGGTAGTGTATATTTTTAATTGTTTAAATCATGATCCCTAGGAGTAGGGTGGGCCACAATAGGTATTACAAGGGGGAAATCTGGTAAAGAACAGCTAGGCCTAAGATACTCAGGTGAGCGATATAGCCCATGGGCCTCTTGTTTAATTCTTAAAATAATTCTTGAAATGTCCCTCTGATAAGAGAGTTAGCTTTTCATGTAGAGTATATCCACATGTTAACATAAATATCTTGCATGTTAACATAAATTTCTTGCATGTTCACATATAGTTATGTTGCATGTATGATGTAAGAGAATGGCCTTAGTAAGTAAATTTGCCCATATTGAAATTAATTTCTCTAATAAGATTGGTAACTTGCGTGTTAACATAATTTTCTTGCATGTTGACATAAATTATCCTGCATGTAGGGGGCAGAAATAAGCCACCACACACCCAATCTAATTATAATTAGATTTTAGATCCGCTCCAACAGATCGCTACATAAAGCTTTGTTTGAGCGGATCAGAGATCTCTTAGATTGACTTTAAATATATTTTCTATTTGAAGCTATTCTTCTTGATGAAAATCAGTGTCGGGAATTTAAAAAAAATTGGCGAAAGAGCAGAGGGATGTTTCAGTTTGATTTAATGTGCAAAAAAAATACATGTATATGTTGTTTATAAATTTAATTGATTTTTTTTTTTTTGTAGAGCTAGTTCAACTTCATGCACACACATTGTATCAACCTTTGTAAAACCTCATTCAATGTTAACGACAAATCACGTTTAAATTATTTTAACTTTTAATATCTCTTTTTCCCATGAAACCTGGGGCTTTTTAAAGCACTTTAATTAACAAAATAATCTTAATTTGCCTTACAAGACCAAAAAATTACATTCAAGCTTTTTTTTTAATCGTAATTAACGCAGAGTCACGCGTCATAAAACAGAAGTTGTTAAGGTTGAAAAATGATACATTTTATTCGTGTAAAAGGAGCTAACTGCAAATGGGGTTAACATTGTTGAAGTTACGCTTTTTTTTGTCGAATATTTTTAAAATTTCATCGACCGTCAATTCAATTACAGTGTTACACAGGTGTGACAGGTGTTGAATGCAGCGTAAAGGTGCAGTGGCTGGGGTACAGACCACAAAAAGCTAGATTAACGGACAGTCAGGCCTATCTACGACCTACTAACTGCAGGTATTTCTTTAGTTTCTTTCATTTACGTCTTTATGGTCTTACAAAGATTTTTCATTTTCTCTTTCAAATCTCTACGTGATCTTTTGCCTATATTTTGTTCTACCTGTTTAAAAATTGTTGTTTGAAAAAAGACAGCAGATTATTTACAGTTATAGAGAAGGTAGGGAAAGGTCACACCATTATCGACAACCATCCAAATTTTAGCCCAAAGAAATACAATTTTTTTATTGGTTTGATGGTCTGAACATGAGTTCGGAGTTGATCATTTTCAGATAAAAGAAGTTTCTAACATGATAATAATACATAGGCAATTTAGCCACATATGATCCACATATGCATTGCCTTTCATATGAAGATCATATGTGGATCATATGAGAATCATATGTATATATAATCATATGAGAATCATATGTGGCCAATCATATGAGAATCATATGATCAAACATATGTTAATCATATGAAGTTATACACATATGATTCTCATATGAAATGTCCTACATATGAAAATCATATGTATATTTTGACCGTTTTCATATGAGAATCATATGAAACAGTGATCATATGAGAATCATATGAAACCAAATTCACTAATTTGCCCGTGTTATACTCAGGTAAATATCATATGAATATTTTGACAGTGATCATATGAGAATCATATGAAACAGTGATCATATGAGAATCATATGAAACAGAGTTCACTAATTTGCCCTTAGTATATGCAATTAAAATTGCAATTTCAATAATATATATCAATAGTAATTTAAATGTACATATATTCAATAGAATGTGATAGCAATTACTTATGTAAAGTTCTACTCTGTTTAACGCCCCCCCCCCCCCCCCCCAACCTTTCCCTTATAAAAAATAAAACTTTCAAGATTTTTTTTCTGTAATAATGCATTTCCCATACAAAATTGACAAGATAATAAATTAGTATGCCTTTTATTTCAAATCTTTTGGGTTTGGATTATTACTTGAGTAAAATCAAATAATTCCGTATTTTTTTTTTCGGAACGGTTTTGACTTTTATCGGATGAAAGTGTACGTCATGTTTGACGTCACTGCTGCAGCAGAAGTGCTGGATAATGGGTGTTGGAAAAAGTAAGTTATCTCCTAACATTTTTATAAAGACATTTAGGCTAATTCATATTGTTTAAATATCCTTTCATTACGGTTACAGGTTCGTATGAACTTATTTCTATAATACTCTCATCACTTGTAATGGTTAAATTCATGCATTTCGCAAACCTACATAATGTTAGTGATCTGTAAGTAATTTTGGATGAATTTGTTTCTGAATGGATGTAAACAATATAATTTACATGATAGGCTAAAGGCATTACTTTGTTTTCTTTTTGTTTTGACTTTTGTTACGTACTGATTTGAAAGTGAAAGTAGAAACCCTGTATAGCAGTTGGCGTTGTTGTATGTTGAGATCGTTATCAAGTCGATTCTTTCATCAACATAATGACAAATGTTTGTTTTTATGGCCTTAGATGCATTCAACAATTTGAGTTCAGTGTCACAGTGCTGCTTTTTTATCAAGTCCGAGAAGCCCAAATCTGATAAGACTGGCGATTGATCCTAACTGCCCAAAGCTGATTCTGACAGACGATTGCATCATCACAATATTAAAGGTAAAAAAATTGCAATAAAAAATCAAAGTGTACATCTGTAATGACTCCTTTATGACAAAATATTTCTTTATAATTTCGTTTTGTTCCTTTATAATTCTACATTGTTTGCACGGCTTCATAAAAAATAAATTCAACTCGATAATATAGATGTTTTATTCTACATTATGAAACAATTTTAATCCAATGTACTTTTTTTAAATATGGTGAGTATGAATTGAATTTTCTTGCTTTAAATTAAGCTACGAAACTATACAATAACTTCAGGGGGTAAATTGAATTTGTGAATTTCAGCAAAAAATTAATAATAGGCCTAACAGTGGCAATTTTCAAGGCTCAAATACATGTGCATGTGACTATGTGTTGAAAGTACATCAGATAGCTAATCCATTGAATATTTACATCTATGTATTCATTGACTGACATTTATAATTTTTTTCCAACACTAAAGAACCTATAGTTTCAGGTAAATTGTAAGATATTTAAAACAATTGAGAGCCTACAAACTAGTACTCTCTCTTTTTTGTAGTTTAAATTTTAGTTTATAATGCTTAGAAAATATCTACTGTGTGAATATTTGTTTTACAGGTTCAATATACAGTCAGCCTCTCATAAGAAAAAAATCCAAAGATCCAAGGCTTGCTTCAAAGTTAAGGTAACTACACACTGTTTAATATACTTTGTTATATTCTTCCCAAAAAAGTCTGGAATATCCTGGAATCACAAAGTCTGTTTTTTCTGCCTATCTACTTGTCTGTAGTTTTTTTTTTGTCCAAAAGTAATATATTTGTGTCAGAATCTTCTTAATTTTTGGCAATTTGAATTAATATATATTTGAACATTCCAAATTCAATTGCAAAAATAAAAAAAATAGCTTTTTATGATTTTAATATGAAGCAATATCTTCCAACAATGTAATTGTCTTTCAAATTACATCATAGGATTCCACAAAACACCTAGTATAACATATATAACATAATTTTTTCTCGTATTATATCTGTGTCAGTGCATTGGGAATACATTTGTTTGCTGATGATAAGTTACTGTAGTATAACTTGTAGAATTGATTTTGTAATTTAAGAATCATTTTATTTTTATTTTTGAAATTTTTGTAGAGACCATTCTGTGCCACAAAGAAATTGTTCAGGAAGGGGAGAACTGGTGGATTTGCATTTTTGGTACACTTCAAAGAGATTTTCAAAATGGTCAGATCAGAGGGAGGACAACTGAAAATATTGAAAAGATACAGAAGGAAAAAGAACCTGGAAATCTATGGAATAATTATGAAATGTGGAGGATGTACACAATCTTGTCTGAATTTGACCTGTAAAGATATCTCATTCTTATTTGTATGTTAGAATATCAAATAACTTGAGTTTTCATAAATTTACAATAGAGAATACATGACAAATGTTATTGCTGATATTTCAATTTTGCTGTGGACAATTTCATGTCATATGGTATTTTTATACAAGTACATGACCTAATTATTTTATTCATTTGTACATGTATACATGTTTAACTACTTAATCATTTTGCTGAAATCTTGAAATTTGTACTCATTTTAGAATAATTATGTTAAATACATGTATCGACAAATGCTACTGAGTTGTTTGTATATTTTCTTGTTTAGAATGTACACTGTGAAAAATAAGTTATTTCTCTTGATGAAAATACTTTTATCAAAAAAGTTGTGTAAGCATTATAAGATATTTTGAAAATATTTAACCAATGAAGATAGATCATTGTTGTAATGTAATGAATTTTCATCTAAAGCAGAAATATCTGATTTTTAAATGTGTACAAGAATGTGAAAAATATTGAAAGAGAACACACTTAACTGTTTCATATGATTTACATATGATGCCCCTTTCATATGATTCTCATATGTAAATGGCTTGAAACACACTTAAGTGTTACATATGATTTACATATGATACCCTTTTCATATGATTCTCATATGTAAATGACTTGAAACACACTTAAATCATTCATATGCAAATCATATGTAGTTATTTTCATATGATTCACATATGTGGATCATATGTAAATCATATGATTTGCTTCATATGATTCACATATGATGCCCTTTTTCTATGATTCTCATATGAAACCAATCATATGAGAATCATATGATACTCATATGAGAATCATATGTGGCTAAGTTGCCTGTGTATGTGTTGCCTAAGTTTAAAACGTTCTTTTGATATGTAAGATGATAAATTCTACCGAAAATTTAGATGAGATAAACTTAACATATCTACATGTCAAGTCATTGTTTTCTGACTTAATTACACGTTATCTAGGACAAAAGACAGATTAAAGCTTTTTACAGAGGTAGTTTAACCAAGATATCCATCAGGGGAGACCTACTATTAAGATTGGTTATTTTAATAATATTTAAAAAAAAATAAAATAAAAATTGCCTTAACAAATATCGCATGTGACCCTAACACAAGGTTTTCCAGGACGGGGGGGGGGGGGGGGGGCTAAGACAATTAAGTTATCCATAATTATTAAAGAGGCCTGAACACAAATTTGACTTAAAATTTTTCTAAAATTTTGTACGACGTCACATTTATCTTTTAGATCTGATTTAATTAATGGATAGATAAAACGGCTTTGTCGATTAACATTGGTTAGACATCGTTTTATATATTGTATATTACGTTTTATAACTAAATGACTATACAAATCAATAGGCGAGAATATACATCAACTCAACTGAAACTTATTTAAGTACATATGCACGGTATTTGTGTTATTTGATGCAGGTATATTGTAAAATTTAAAGAGTCACACAAAAGGAGTTTGTTGCTTCACACAATAACAATTCTCAGAATTTGTTTAAAGTTTGGGGAAATGTATAAGGAATGTACAATGAATTTGTTTAACAAGGCGTCTTAATCAACCAATGTAAGTTCGAATCTACAAGACAGATATACATAGTTCATTTTATCGAAACTTTTATTAACATGTACGTGGTTGTATTCATCAGTGGAAGATTGTGGTGGATCCATGTATTTTTAGCGATTGTTTTGCCTAAGATTACCATTGTATTTAGGTTTTTCGTCCCTCGCTTCATAAACGAGCAAATCCAAATCCAAATATCTATGTATTATGGGTACGAAGAGTTTGGAATGGATGCTAATAAGGGGACTGAAAGACTTATGTTGAAGATACATTGGCGACAAATTAGAAAATTAAAACCTTAAAATTTTTCGATAGAATTACACGACTTATTCGTGCAAGAGCGTTTTAGACCGAGACGCCCGTGTCGTCTGTTTACGTCATGTGTCTAGTGTTGGCATATTGATTGACTGATAGTTGTTTTACGTCCTATTCGAGAATCGTTCACTCATATAGAGACATCACCCCATAAACCGGTGAAGGGTTTCAAATTTAGACCATTACTCCGCACTCAGGGTAAATGAGCAAGGACGGTAGTTTATCATGCCCACGCCTGCCGTGACACGGGCTATCGGTTTTCTTACCCCCCCCCCCCCAAAAAAAAATAACAGAGAATGTACTTCAAAGGAACAGTTGAAACCATTTTTTTTTATCGACTTACGTCAGTCGCGGCCGAGGTTCGAACCAACGACCTTCAGATCACGGGGCGAGCGTTTAAGCAAATCGAATACAATCGATTAAACAACAGAGCTCCTGTCCTTGTTCTCATGCACAAATATTGTGAGATTATACAAATAATGTCATTTGAAGGATTAAGTTCAATTCATTAAATTGAAATTATTTCGTAAAAAAAAAAATGAGATAATGCAAACAAACCAGAAATACAACTTTGTCCAAATCTGTACTTATGTATTTGTATAGTTTTTTTTATGTATTTTTACTTCGCGAAGTATTGTGGGTGGATGTCCTGGCCCCTCCCACTTTTTTACTAGGCATAACACTGCACTATTGTAAATGTTCAATGAAAGCCCCCCCCCCCCATTTCGCTGCAGTATAGTTAAATAAGGGTTATGCAGTATGTTTTTGTAAAAATAATTGGTGCCGTTGGTCTGTAATAATTTCAATTCTTATTATTCTAGTTTGGAGAACGTACCTTCTAAGTTCCAAAGGGAGCTTATCAATATACTAGTATGACGAGAAAAGAAAAGTTGCTTTACCTTTACAGAGCAAGCGTTGATTTTTGTTTTACTAAGAAAAACGTACTTGCATATTGGTCATTGATATTATATATCTGATAAGCCAAAAGATAGGTTTTTTAAAAGAAGAAAAAATAACATAAAATTAAGATAATGTTATCATAATCAATTGACTGATGACATACATTACAAGTAAGAAAACCCCGAATAATACGATGAATAAACCATCAAGTGATGAGGCAATTTGAACATCCGTTTTGATCTTATCATTCCTCATTGTCATTTAAAAAGGTTAGAGGACAGTTATGGAGTCACCTTGGTCAATTGTGGGGATAACTTCTGCAGCGGCGTTAGGGGTGTACTGTGTCTTCAGTTATACAAGAAGAAGTCCATATAGGTTGCCTCCCAAACCCCTTGGATGGCCAGTTATAGGGAATATTCCTCAGCTGGTCGGGGGAAAGGGCGTGTACTACAAACTGCTGGCGTTTAGAGAACGGTACGGTGATCTTTTCCGTGTACAGATGGGCCAACATACGCTTTTTGTCGTATTTGGACGAAGGTATTTTCATGAACTGTTGATTGAAAAGGGAGATCTTGTGTCGAATAGACCGAGCTGGCTTTATACCCCTCATCAACTAACTTTTGGAAAAGGTAAACAAAAATAAGAATTAATGTACATTTGTGCTTTTTTTTTCTTTTTTTATGTTTTTAAAATGCATTTTTGAATTATTATGTTTAAATATATTTTTTGAATACTTTCATACGAGATGCTTCTAAAGCTCTTTAACATAGCTTTAGAAGGGGAATAATGTATATCTATATTGTTCCTCTAAAAAATATATGTTAATTGTTTAAGGAAGTTACTTTCATTACTATTTTGTTGCTGGTACTTGTTAATTTAAAGGATATATGAGCCGGAAACCACATTTGTAAATAGTTCATATAAAAAGAGTAACCGCAGAGTGTACAAAGTTCAATTACTCTCGAAACATAACTGAATGACCTAACAGAATACATATATTTTTTACCACAGATACACCAATATATCTTGATTTACCAATGACTCAATGACCAATCCAGAATATTATGCTTTCATGTAAATTAGTTGAATCTGATTGGTCGAGAAACATTTGCTAAAAAACATACTACCCGCTGAATAATGAAGCCACGCCCTCCAGCGTAGCAACAGTCAACATTGCTTGACGACGGGTGGTATTACAAAAAATAGTGACTGCGCAGAATTTATGCGCGCACGGTTCACTGTTATATGTATTTGTATAAAACATTCAGTATAATATAATAAATATTGCATGTAGTTGAGTATAACATTGAAAATTTTCACCCCTCGAAAACCATTGTCAACCTCGGCTGCGCCTCGGTTGACAATGGTTTTCTTAGGGTGAAAATTTTCAATGTTACACTCAACTACATGCAATATTTATATAATATTACACAGTCTGTATCTTTGTTCACCATGGACTCAGTAGCCAATTAGAATATAACGTACTCGTATCTTTATTTACCATCGCTTCTGTAGCCAATGAGAATAATACACAGTTTGTAGATCTTAATTCACCATCGACTCAGTAGCCAATCATAATATTACACAGTCTGTATCTTTATTCACCATCGACTTAGTAGCCAATCAGAATATTACACAGTCTGTATCTTTATTCACAATGGACTCAGTAGCCAATTAGAATATTACACAGTCTGTAGATCTTTATTCGCCGTCGACTCAGTAGCCAATCAGAATATTACACAGTTTGTATCTTTATTCACCATCAACTCAGTAGCTAATCAGAATATTACACAGTCTGTATCTTTATTTACGAACGACTTTACTAGACATAAAATTTAATATACCTGGACTTGTTAACAGGAATTATATGGAGTAATGGAAAGGCATGGCAAAGTATGCAGGCGTTATTGAGAAAGACACAGGAAGACTCCAAATGTGTGTCCGCTCTCCAGCGCCACCTAACGGCAGAGTATGAGGAGTTCAAAAATCTCTTCAAGGACAAGTCCTCAACTTACAGTTTGGATTATTTGATCCGCCAAGCGTCTTTCAACTTTCTCTCAGCTTTCTTGATCGGAAAAAGGTAAATATTTTGTCCCTTATCTGAAGGACCGATCTACTCGCAATATAACTGCCCTGTTGTACAGTGTATTTTGAATTTAATTTATCTTGACCGTGGAGTTTGCTATTTGTAAAAAAATTACCAAACTTCAACATACTCATTACTTTTGAATTTCTTTGGCTTATAAATGTGCATTTCATATGTCCAGGCTTTTTCTGGTATTGAAAGCCTTGACCTTTCAATGTAACCTGCATTTGAAAAACTTAAACCCTTCCTATTACTTTCGAACTATTGCTGTTAAGACTTTCATATTTACTCATATGCATTTTTAAGACAAGACCTTTTTTGATTACAGTTTTTAACATCAGACATTGACCTTGAAATATGGCTTACTTTCTTAACAACTTTTATTTTTTGAATAGAATGGATAGAACTTTAGGGCTTTTATACCTCACATGTGTATTCCCTCTGACAATTCCTTTTTGGGATATCAATAATTAACTCTTGACCTTGGAGTTAGACCTAAATTTGAAAACTTAATTTAGCTCAATCTTGAGCTGCCATACGAGGGTATCAGTGTTTCACGATCACATCTTATTCGAATAAAATTTGTTTGTAAGTTATACTGACATCATTGAAATTAGTGTGGTTGAAAAATTCCATGAAGCTTCTGCATATTTATACTTCTAATAATCTGTTTATTCCATAACAGTTTTGGTACTACGGATATAATTTTATTTATTTACAGATAAATCAAATATGTTCATATATGATTGATTCTGTGTTTGATACATGTATGTTTTTAAAGATTTGGATACAGCGATTCGACTATTAATGAAATGAGAGACAAAATAGAAAGTTATGGATTTTCAATGGCAACAGTTAATATAGAAAATTACATTCCTTTGTTGGCTTTCCTAAACAAATCAAAGGTAAGGACTTAATTTTCGCGCCACTTTTTAATTTCAAATAATGATATACAAGCCCATAGAAAAGATTTTAAAGGGAGGGGGGGGGCTTTCCAAAAGATCTGACAAGCAAAAAACTAATTAACTGTCCAGTGCTTGATCTTACAGCGAAAAAATGGAGGTCCAACCATCATCTAAAGGGCAATTTACGATGGATAAATGCTATTAAAAAATATTATGCTCAGAAAAAGGGGACCCCTGCCCCTCCCTCCCCCTCTTGCGTTCTACTAAAAGTGTTATCGATTATGTGTAGCATGGTCGCTTTTGTTTTCGTACATAGATACAAAAGGCTACAGACGATCAGGATTTTGTGTATGGAATCCTTCAAGAAAATTTAGAAGAGCGTCGGCGATTGACCAGCGATACGCCAGAAAGTTTCCTCGAAATGTATCTAGCACAGCCAGAGGGCGAACGACTGAAAGAGGGGATGAGCGGTATGTATTAAAATAACATTTGTGATTCCGAATAAGGAGTTCATTCTTACATCCAAAAGTGGGGTTTGGGAAATAAATGAATATATCTTTCCTTCAAAATCTGAGTTTAAGGACAAAGACAAAGACAAAAAAATTTGAAACAAAGAAGATGGGTGGACAAGGTGTGCAAAATGCCTATAGCATCAAGTTTCTAAATATAATATTAACGCTGTGAATAAAGCATTAAAAGTGAAGTTCTCATTATTGAAAATTAAGAAATAATAATCAAAAGTTTTTAGAGAGGAAAAAATTCTCTACAAAAATATTCCGATAAAAAAATGTGATACAATTCTTGAGGTTCGAACCCTATCAATAACAATTCTGAGTATCTTTTTTCCTTTGGGACGAAAACGCTTACCACTAGGCGGGTAATTTTTACGTAATATTCGTAAAATGGAAAAAATGTTCGTTTATTAATATTTTATTTCATGAGTATATGGTTGATAATGCATGCAAAATCAAGCAGAATATATTTCTAGAAACTAGTAACAATAAAAGACACGGGTTCTAAAACCAACGCTTAGTTTATGCTGGAATGTTGGAAAATATTTTGTTAAAAACTCTTTATATTAATATATTTCGGACCTTGGATCATTGACAATTTCTAAAAAATCAAAATTGCATCCTATCACTCTCTATGGGATAAAAATAAATTTTTTTTTCAGAGTTGGACGCCTTGAGGGCCATTATAGACATGTATGTCGGTGGAAGGGACAACCTCATTACGTATACCAAATGGATGCTGATGACCTTAGCAAAATACCCGGATATACAGTCAAAATGTCGTGCTGAGATTCTAGAGGTTTTTAGAATTTGCATATTACTGGAAGGAAGCTAGAACATGTAGATCTTATTATATACACGTCATCCCAAGTTGTCTTCATTATAAGTCATTCTTTAGGCAGAAAATGATATACATAATATGACATTTTTTTCAATTATTGAAGTAAAGGTTAAGAACAATAGATGTCATAGCCTAATTTATAATTTAGCTAAGGCAACCAATTTTAGAAGGTGAATGAATCAATTATCACTTTATCTTCTAAGAGTTCATACGGTAGTTAATATTTCATATATTCATGTCAGGTAGTCGGGAGGGATCGTCGCATCCAGCTAGAAGATAGAGTAAAAACTCCATACACTTTGGCTACTGTAAAGGAATTACTACGCATGCGTGCTCCAGGTACAACATTTTCAAACCAGAAGATGATATACTAGATATATTCAAATTCAATCCGATTAGTGTTGAAGTGCAAAAATAACCATCTCAATAAATTTAAAATTAAACTTATGCCCCGTATGGCAGTTTGAATGCCAAAGCTTAAGTTTTTCAAATGCAGGTCAAACTCCAAGGTCACGGTCAAAATTTTAAAAATATTCATATCCAAAAGAAAGAACTTGTCACAAGGAAAATATGTATGAAATAAATAGCCTTCTACCAACCCATTCAGAAAATGGATTTCAAAAAGTAGGCCATTCTCCAAGGTCAGTGTCACGAGGTCAAAAAATAGTAGTACCAGTGCATGGAAAGATCTTGTCACAAGGAATACACAAGTGGAAATATAAAGGCTGTAGATGCAACCATTCAAATGTTTTTGGTAAAGATTAAATATTTTAAATGTAGGTCAAAATCCAAGGTTCAAAACCATTGCACAAAAGGAAAGGTCTTACGTGTAGTACGTGCACAGGAGTCTGAGGTTTTTATCGTAAAAAATATCCGGAAGAAATTTCCCACATTCAACTACAGTCACATCCTGGTGTTTTTAGTTGAGGGTGGGAATTTTTTTCCGGATTTAAAAAATTTTTGGACGACTAAAAACTCCCACTCGGATTTCCTCGGATGACTCGTACCTCGCACATAACCTCGGACTTCAACGGTGATCTACCATCTTGCTGATTCAGTCATGTGATCTTATTTGAATTTCTTTCAAATGTCATACATTTGAAATCGGAGTTATTTTGTGGTACACTCAACAGTTTTTTCTTGCTTTCAAAGCCTATTAACATGAGGATGTAATCAAAATCTGTTTACGATAAAGAACTGCACAAATTAAGAAACATTTTCGAAGAACGTTATGCAGAGCGAAATATGAAATGAGTGATAAGGCAGTTTCCGGCGAAGAAATGTAAGGATCTGTTGCGTATTCCTCCACTAATCACATCCGAGGTTTGAATGGAGCATAGCGGAGTCAGCCGAGGATTGCCGATTGAAAAACTCCAGGAGTCAGACTCCTGTGGTACGAGAAAACATACTCCAAGGTCAAGGGGTCAAATTTGTTAGTACCAAAAAGAAAGGCCTTGTCTCTAGAAAAAAAATTACGAAATACCATAACACCAACAATTCAAGATTATGACCTCAGTTTTTGCGTACCAACAGACAAATAGACTAACAGACAGTCAGACAGACAAAAAATTATATGCCTCGAATCTGCAAATACGGGGTCGTAAAAATACTGAATTACATTATGTATTTTGTTCATTGGTTAAGAAATGCATTTACATTTTTTCATCACCGTTGTTTATACATTTCCTTAAAACAGTGGTTCTTGCGCCTTTTCACACGCCTACTCAGGATATAACACTGGGTGAGTTCGATATCCCGAAGGGCAGCATCATTCTGGTGGACTGCAAGGCCCCGAATTATGATAAGGCTTGGAGTGACCCGGAAGTGTTTAAACCAGAGAGGTTCCTTGGTGTTTCTGAACAGCAGTTACCGAAATCCTGCTTTGTCCCGTATGGAACAGGTACTGACATTAGACCTGTAATTCGTAAAGTAGAAATATGTAAATGGAATTTTATAAAAATGTAAATGGAATTTCATGTGTTGAAATGTGAGTGTTAAACATATCGTTCGGTAAATGTTGCTTTAGTTAACATTTTAAAGACTAAGGTAAGCATACACCAAAACCTACATCTTTTAGTATTTATCATTATAAAAGGCCCACTGGGTTTTCATCATGTTTCAACATCGAACTCATGTTCACTTGAGACTGGAACTCGGGCGAAATTGGCTCACGTAACCTTTATATGAAATTCACACACAAATTCCATGTGTATTCTTAGAATGAGAAAGAGATCTATGAAAAACAAAATACTAGTATTTGAAAATTATACGAAAACTTTAATTGATTTTGACATTACTTTCGTATGAATTTTGTATGAAGAGCATAAATATCGCGCTAAGAAAACTTGACGTGAAAGTTCTTTTAAAAAATATGTGAATATCTCGCATGAAATTTGCATGTTAAATATAATTTTTACACGAAATTCATATAATTTTCAAATAAAAAGACAATGACGTAAATATCCTGTGAGCCACTTTTCCCTGTGAACTCGGGACTCATGACAGGATTTACATCCCTCGTTCTTTAGGAACTCTGTGCGTTTTCTCTGTGCTCAAGGGTATGAAATTAAATGGCTGAAATGTGATGAATAATTTTTTTTTAGGTCCCCGGTACTGCATGGGAAGGTATGTAAGCGATATTTTCGAGTATTTGTTTACGGCCAACATTCTTCAGGATTTCCAGATAATGACCAAAAACCCAGACAAAGAGCTTTCGATGGAGGACATCTTTGACATATTTGGACTTCGACCTCAACATTTTGACGAAATCGTAATGAAACCATTGGAATAATCGACTTTTGTTCAGTCTTAGTACGCAGCATACATAGATAGCACACACCACTTTTTAGCTCACCTTGACAAAATCTAGATGAGCATCTCTGATATTTGTATATGATACATCATGTGTACAGTTAGTGTCTCTGATTCATTAGTTGAGACGCACCAAAGACCTAAAGTTCAGTTTAGGTCTGATGGACGCAGTTTTTATCAGAAATAAAAAAGAATTCGAAGCTATTCTTTGGATGAAAATATTTTACGTGATTTGTGACCAGATTATATTTTGTGAACAGTTCCATTCGAAAGTAGCTTCATTTATGTGCCCTACATGTAGGTGGACGGTAAATTTACATGAATGATGCATCTGGCGTAAGAATTGCTGCAACTGTTCTCTGTCTTGTATTTAGCCCATGGATTCCTTACTTACTGATAATATAATTAGCTTCAAAAATCTTTGAGAACCTTTGCTTCTATTCTTAGATTTTAAAAATATCTACATTTCAAGACTTTTGTACATGTATTATGTGTAAATACTGTTATTTTTAATATTTTTAGATATCGAAATGGGGCAAAAAGGGTCTTTTGTTGGCGCTCAGTCTTTATCATTGTCTCCATATTTTGTGTATTTTGTTTCTTGGTAGATTTATCTCTTGTCTGAGGAAAATGTACCAATGACTTCATTGAGTTTTCTGATACAATTTGAATTTGTATAACACTAATAAATATTATTTTTATAAACCTTTTATTTTTTCAAATTTCAAATTGTGATAACGAGTTAATGCTCCTTCTACATGTATTACTGTGTCAATTTTTTCAACATTGTCAGACATAAAATTAATTTTGGAAAAGATTAGCCTGCTTCCTTCCTCAAGACATTTTAATTTTATGCTTTTGATATTGATAAAGTTAATGTTCGGAATTTTAAAATTTGATAATTTTTGTTAGAGAAGATGGACATTACTGAGTATATTCTAAATGTATTAAATGTACTTCATGTATTGTTCTATAAATGATGGAGAATAAATTGAACAGTAGGGATTTCGTTTATCATACATTCATACATTTATGTCAGGCCTGTATACGTGGAATCAATCGCAAGATACAAAAAGAACCCCTTTCTACTGTACAAATTACTCTCCGTGTGCCCGAATTGAACGATCGTTTATAAAAAAAAAAAAAATGATGATTGCTACAATGTATATCTTGAATTTCTTTCCTATATAATTTTTTTCTTAAAAAATCCAATATTTCCAATGTTTTACTAATGTACTTTGGACTGCTGATCCGTTAATAAGATATTGGACCGCAAGGTTGTTTGTTTTGTACACTATGCACTTGGTAGGCAGAATCAGTTATCCAAAACACTGAAGTCGGCACAAGATTTGTCAAAATTTAAGGATATCCGGTTCGCAGCCAGGAAGGATAACTCCAAAAATTAATGTATAATTTAAAAAGCATAAATATGAGGCTTGAAAATGCAACAGTTTTCATCATATTCATCTTTATATGAATCGAGGTTTATGAAAGTCTTAGAAAAGGTCATAAAAAGTTGACATTTGTACCCCATAAATGGAAAAAAAATAAATACAGTTTTGGAGAAGTAAGATTTTCTGGAATCGAGCCTTAGATACCAATGCTTATTAGTATGAAATGAAATTAGAATTGATTTGTGATGTCTTGCAACTATAATAAAAGCCTTTTACACTATGTATTATATGATACAAGAAAGAAACAGAAGACATAGAATACCAAATAAGTAAACAAATCATGACAATTTCTCTGAATGCCTGGACACCTATTGTTTTTTTTTAACCTAAACTATATTTGTTGATCAATTTGCAATTACAAATGCATAGCTGATATTCCTATTCGCTTTTTCTGAATATATATCGGAGATTTGACAATTTTAACTACATAATATGATTAACTTTAATGTTTAACTTTAAAGAAATTTTGTGGGTAAATTTATATTACTTTGTGGATTCAGATACAGTATATTTTTATGAGTATTTTCGGTTACTTAACTGCTAATTTTATGAACTTGAGGATCGGATTACCTTAGAGAAAGGGATGTCGCACCTTGCCCTAAAACAGTCAATAAATCTATGATATTTCAATCTTGATATATAAGATAAAACCAAGTTCGAATTATGATTTAACATGGTTGTATGCCAACATGTTTGATGAATCAATAAATCAATTGAAATTGAATCATTTTTATGCCTCCCTTCGAAGAAGGGAGGGCATGTTTCTTTGCTGTTGTCTATCGACCGGTCTGTCGGTCCACCATTAGTTTCCGTTCATTTTCTTCGCAGAGGTTTCACATATTGTAATGAAATTTTATATACAGAATTATCATAAGAATATCTAGGTCAAGTTCTGTTTTGGGTACTATCAGACCATTTGGAACAGAGTTATGCCCCTTGGACTTAGAAATAAAAATATAAAAATTGGCTCTTTCCTTTCATTTTCTTCGCAGGGGTTGTACATATTGAATTGAAATTTGGTATACAGATTTGTTATTAGAATATCTAAGGTCAAGTTTTGTTTTGGGTACAGTCAGACTATTTTGGACAGAGTTGTGCCCCTCGGACTTAGAAATTTCCAATAATTTGCAGTTTCCGATTTTTTCATTTCAGTTTTTTGATTTTCTTCGCAGAGGCTGTGCATATTGAAATAAAATTTGGTGTGATACTGATTTAACATAAGAATATCTAGGTCAAGGTTTGTTTTGGGTACGATCAGACCATTTTGGAAAGAGTTATTCCCCTTGGACTCAGAAAAATTCCAAAAAATTGAAGTTTCCGTTTATTTTCTTCGCAGAGGTTGCACATATTGAAATTAAATTTGATATACTTATTTATCCTAAAAATTTCTAAGTCAAGTTCTGTTTTTGGTCAGTCAAGCCATTTTGGACCGAGTTATGCCCCTTCGACTTACAAAAAAATTTAATTATTTGGGGAAGAGGGGCATACGTGTTTTACAAACATCTCTTGTTACCACAAGTGCTTAAGATTCCTCTCCCTTTCAATGGTTATGACTTTTATTTAAATGTATTTCTCCAAAATTAATGATAGTTACCTCAACAGATGGAGCGGTGAGTTACAAATCTCTGTAGGTTAGCTCAATTTTAACTTCTGCTTAGCCACAGACCACTTCGTGATATAAAAAGTATATGTAGATATTAAAAAGATTAATATATATATTAAAAAGATTAATATAAAATGGAAAGAGAAAAAATAATGGGGAAAAGTTGGGAAAATAACCTATAGGATATGGGTCCTTATCTTACGGAAATAAGTGTTCCGGATAAATGTACGGGCGACTCTTGAGAGAAATTCGCCCAATTCGTTTCCTGGTCAGATAAAATCAATTTATTTTTGTTCTTGATTTTTTTCCTGGTTTATATTAGTTTTCATTTATGTTACTCCTTACAAGTAAATTGGGTTTAAACTTATTTCATTGACTTATATGTGAACTACTGAACTTTTCAATTGAACTTTTTATTTACCCAACCTAAATTGAAATAAACACTTATAAGTGTGCTATATTGTTTAGTGTACCGCTCTAAAATTGTGATCCTCAAAGGCACTTTACTTTCTAAATATCAACATTCATATTTTTATTTTTAAATCGTTACACTATATAGTATAATAGTGTACTTAGACTAGTAAATAAAATAGTGCCTCTTTACAGTTTTTTTTTTTAATTATTATATTTTAAATTTATAAATACCAAAAGTAAGGGCTTCTCACAAGAAATACAATTGTGAAATATGAAATCCCTAGCACCACATACTCAAAAGTTATGGCCAAGGATAAGTTTTTTTTAAAGGTAGATCAAACTCCAGGGTCAAGGTCAAAGGGTTACACTTGTTGGTTTCAAATTAAAGAGAGGTCTTGTCAAAAGGATTACATATATGAAGTATGAAAGCCCTAGCCCTAACTGTTCAAAAGTTATGGCCAAGGTTCAAGTTTTTAAAAAGTAAATCAATTAAACTCAAAGGTCAAGGTCGAGAGGTAAAAGTTCTTGTTATGCAATGAAAGGTCTTGTCACAAGAATTTAATATGTGAAGTATGGAATCCTAGCCCTAACCCCTCAAAAGTTATGGTCAAGGTTTGTTTTTAACAAGTAGGTTAAATTTCAAGGTCAATGTAAAAGGGTAAAAGTTCTTGGTATCCAATGAAAGGTCTTTTCACAAGTAAAAGTACGAAAGTCCTAGCCCTTTCCGTTCAAAAGATATGACCGAGATATGATCAGGGTCAAAAGTTCAAAGTTGGTATCCAATGAAAGATCTTGCCAAAAAGAATAAATATGTGAAGTATGAAAGTCCTAGAATTTACCATCCAAGAGTTATGGCCAAAGTAAAACTTAGGAATTATTGTGTAAAAGTATGTCAAACTCTAATATAAGGTCAAGGTCAAATTTGGTGGTACCCAAAGAAAGATCTTGTCACTAGGAACACACATGTGACATATGAAAGTTATAGCTCTTCTAAATCAAAAGTTAACGACAAGGAGGTTAAAGTTTTTGCGGACAAACAGACAGGACTTGGGTTTTCATACTTAACATACGTAATCCATCTGACAAGACCTTCCATTGAATACCAACAACTTTGACCTTGGAGTTTGACTTTTTAAAAACTTTACACTTGGTCATAACTTTTGAACAATGAGGGTTAAAGCTTTCATTCTTCACATATGTAATCCTTGTGACAAGACCTTTCTTTAGAAACCAACAACCTTGACCCTTTGGCGTTGACCCCAGAGTTTGACCTACCTTTAAAAAACTTTAACCTTGGCCATAACTTTTGAACAGGTTGTGCTAGGGTTTTATTATATTTCAGATTTGCATTTCTTGTGAGAAGGCCTTCACTTACTTTGGGTACCAACATATTTGATTTGCATATGAGAAAATTTTAACCTTCGCTATGTTGCAATACGGGGGCATCAGTGTTTCACAAACACGTCTTGTTTCAATGTGTCTTTAAGTGATATTTTGACGGTTTGTTGGTATTTTTGGAACTGTCACTTATGAATAATTGTCTGAACATTAAGTGGTATGTAAATTCCCGCTTCCGTTGCCATAGTAAAAACTGAAGCCGGTAGATACAGTCTGTCACACACGCGGAAGACATGGAGAGCGACTCATCGTCCCTGGGTGTTCTCCCGAGAGTGCTGGGGGTCTCCTCTGTAGGGCTCCTCTGTATCGTGCTTATGTTGAAAATCGGAAAAAGAGGGCAGTACAAACTACCTCCGGGACCGTGGGCGTGGCCTATCGTGGGAAACCTCCCGCAACTAAAAGGAAAACTCGGATTTTACTACGACGTGTTAGATTTCAGAGAGGGATATGGGGATATTTTTAGGCTACAGATGGGAGTACATAATGTTATATTTGTATTTGGACACCGATACGTCCAAGAACTATTGTGTAAAAAGGGACACTTGGTCACTAAGAGGCCTAACTGGATGTACATTCCAGATAAACTTCTTCACGGAAAAGGTTAGCTCTGCATGTAGTGGCGGAATCTTCTGCTAGAGTTTCAAACTGATAAATGGTTAATTTAACAGCAAGTAGTACTGTACATACTAATTACTAATTAAAACATGTCTTATTAATTTACGGATAGTAATACAAGTATAAAAAATATAACACATAAAACTTTTTAATATGTTGAAAATGAAGAAAATACATATACGTGTATTTAAAGATGCAGTTACTTTGAACTATTGTATAACTAGAAAAAAATTGAAGATAACCATTTAAATGTAATTTCGTTATCTGACATGTAAATGCAAAATATTTTTTCCCAAAATCAAACCGTAGCTGGTATTTACGAAAGCCTACAAGGGTCAAATTAGAAAATGAAGAAAAAAAATTAAGTCGTAATAACGACTTTTTATCTCGTAATAACGACTTTTTATCTCGTTATTACGACTTTCCTAAGTCGTAATAACGACTTTTTATCTCGTAATAACGATTTTTTATCTCGTTATTACGACTTTTTATCTCGTAATATTATATAACTTTGAAATCCATTATTAACTTTTTATTGGTTATTACGACGTAATTACAACTTTTTATTCGATATTACAATTATAGCTTATTATCGTTATTACGATGAAGTCGTAATAACGACTTTTTATCTCGTTATTACGACTTTTTATCTCGTTATTACGACTTTTTATCTCGTAATAATGACTTTTTATCTCGTAATAACGACTTTCTTAAGTCGTAATTACGACTTTTTTTTTTCTCGTTATTACGACTTTCTTAAAGTCGTAATTACGACTTTTTATCTCGTTATTACGACTTTCTTAAGTCGTAAAAACGACTTTTTAATTTTTTTTTTCATTTGAAACATTTTTTTTATCAGTTAGGAGAGATAAGAAATGTATCTTTTAAAAACCGATGATTGTTTAGTTATAAACTAAAACAGTTACCTTATCAATTTATTTATGACAAAAATTTGTTATTATTGACAATATTTGACTTGTTTTGTTTACACACATAATCTAAATCAATATGCCGTATTGAAGACATTAGTGTTGCACATTAGAAATCATTTCAAAATATTATATATGATACATAAAGCCTATTGAAAGCAAACGCTAAAGCACAAAAATGTTTTGCTTCACAGAAGAACATTGCCTAATATATTATGTATTTCTTTGCAAAAAAGGGGTTTAAATTGGTTTATAATTTTTTAAAACTTTCAAAATAAACGTCTCTGCTATATATAACCAAATTCATATATGCTTTTTATTAAATTAAATCATGTGATCCACTTTGAGCCAATCAGATATTTGGAACAATAAAGAAAAATAATAATTTTTAATAACGACCGCTGGAAGCGAATAATGACTCGCACGAGCTGCCTCGTTTTCACTTTTGCTTTAAACAAACATGGAAGTTCACAAGTTGAAGGTGAAGAAAATTTAAAAGATATAGTGAAGAACTCTGAAGCTGAGAAAACAAAACAATTACAAGGATATATCTGTGAACATTTTTCGGATAAAAACGTTATTACGCACATAGTCATAATAATGGATAAAAAGAGTTATTACGACTTTTCATAATAACGGCGTAAAAAGTTTTAACGCTGTTTACGCGATTACGGAGACTAAAGAAAATAAAGACAAGCATGCCGTCGTAATAACGAGATAAAAAGTCGTTATTACGACTTAAGAAAGTCGTTATTACGACTTAAGAAAGTCGTTATTACGAGATAAAAAGTCGTTATTACGACTTAAGAAAGTCGTTATTACGAGATAAAAAGTCGTTATTACGAGATAAAAAGTCGTTATTACGACTTAATTTTTTTTTCTTCATTTTCTAATTTGACCCTTGTAGGCTTTCGTAGGTATTTACAATGTAATATCGATAAATTTGTCTGAAATGTAATTAGTTTCACTGAATGTTGTAGAAATATAATTATAGCCAATATTTTCCTAGTATGTACTTCTGTTGATCCAGGCGATGGGTCAGCACTACAATCTAGGGTTAACATAAGGCTCTTTGATCAAATTAAGTTTAAATCAAAATCTTATCAAATATATGTAAAAATTTACCAAACCATAAAAATCACTGAATAGCCTGAGTAGGTTTTTATTTCAATAGATGGTTGATGGGTATATCTTATAAAAACGACCTCAATTTTCTCTATATCCTCTGGGGAAAGCATGCCAAACTTAATACATACGCATACAGAACTTTATTTCTCAGATGAACATGTTACTTAGTATGTGGACTCCTAAATTGAATGTTTATTTACAGTTTCAAGAGGTCTGAACTGAAAATTAATCTTAACAATACATAAATTTGTTCATCGCATGCAGTATAGCTCTGTATTATCGCATTGGTTACTTCCTCAAAGTTCTTTTTCACCCAGCCCCGTCTTAAACCAACATTTCCTCCTTGCATACATAGAAAGCATCACTGAGCCAACTGGATCAAGAGAAAGTGGATAAATAATCTACATGTATTTGGTTTTTAAGAGCATTCGAGAACTATTACAGCTTGATACCTATTGCAATTATATAGCTTGTTCTCATGTACAAGCTATCTCCACCTTAACTGGTTGAAAATCATGCATGTACACCATGTACCATGCTAGTATATGCCCAGATATACTTTAATCCAAATATCTGTTTTGCAGATATGACTTCAACGAAAGAGCAAAATATTTATCGTGCATATAGTGTTGAAAATTAAAATAAAGTTATGAACATTAGGCCAATCCTCGAATAAAACCAAGGTCTAATATCTCTTTCATATCAGTACCAAGTATTTCTACACTTAAATCAAAGTAAATCCAATTCTTTATAGAGTACTTCGTAGATTTTTTTTTACATGCATCACTTGAATATTTTGTATTTGAACTTATAAAAAGGCATTGTTTGGAGTTTTGGAGAATCGTGGCGCACGATGCAGGCCCATTTGAAATCAGCACAAGAAGATCCAACCGTGGTATCAGCGCTGCAGCGGCACCTAGCGGCAGAATACGAGATGTTCCAGTCACACATCAAAAAATGTTCTCCCCACACCCTGGAAGATTTGATCCGCCAAGCCGCCTTCAACTTTATATCATCCTTCCTCCTCGGCAAAAGGTCTTTAGTTTTCTAAAGCTTGTTTTTGTTCCAGAACCTCTCTTTAAAAAAAAATCAAACAGTTAGTGTCCTCAATTAAAGACATGCACAGATTTTTATCTAACTGTTCGATTTCCACGAATTCTCGGAATCTTTAACATTACTTGATAACACATTGGTTCTCTGTTTTATTTTTATGTTACCCGAACAAAGATCGCATTTTTAGAAGAAAAAAAAATGCCCGAAGATGTTCAGCTTGAACACTATTTGTAAAAATATAAAAATAACTGTCACCAAATCAAGTTGTTTTTTTTAATACATTTTATTAAATTTTCAAAATATTGATAGTTGCCAGAAAAATAGAGCAAATATGCATTTAAAAAATCATTTCTTTTAGTAACAGCAAGGTAAATTTTTCTGAAACTTTAACAGTTTATGGATTCTTGCATCATCAAAAAGAGGTCCCTGTCGGAAAAAAATTACTCTAATCTTGACAAATTTTGCCGCTTTAGCATCAACAAGAAGTTGTTCGCGTTGCGCAGTGGTTAGAGCGTCTACTATAAAGTCGCGAAGTAAGGAGTCGATCCTTACGTCGCAGGTTCGAATCCCACTTTGGGACGTGGAGAGATGCTGGCAAGAAAAAGATCCTTCACTGCTCAATGGCCCTAAGTGCCAAGTATAGGACAAAATTTGGCAAGTAATGGCGTCTCCATGTGAGTGAAAATTCTCGAGAGGGACGTTAAACAACATACAATCAATCAATCATTTAGAAGAACGACTTACAGATTTTTTTTTACTACAGGTACGGCTATGATGACGAAGATATGATTAAAATACGAGATAAGCTGGCAGATTTCGGCCGCTATATGGCAACCGCTAACTGCGTCAATTTTCTCCCTGTCTTGGCTACGCTTGAATACTCAAAGGTAGGGAATACTAGTATTATCTCTAATATTGAGTCGTCTCTTTTACTGTTGAGGATTCAAAGTTAAGGAATATTATCTCTAGTGGGTCTTCGGACCCTCCGCTACCTAACGTCAGTCCTATAAGTATTGGCTTATCCATTAAAAAATATTTTGTTGCTTTTTATTCAGATTAAAGAAGCCGAGGGAGATCAAGAATTTGTGTTCTGCCAATTTCGAAAAATTCTTCAAGAAAAATCGAACACGTCAAGGACTGGCCCTCTTTCGGATTTTTTCCAGATTTACCTATCTAAGTCAGAGAGTGAGCGGTCTGCGGACGGAATGACGGGTGAGCTACATGATCGACCAATCTTATCACCCAGTTCTTGAATTAAAAGTTAAATGAAAGTTTTTTTTATTCTTTCATTTGCATTGAAATGTCAAGGAACATTGATAAAGAGATATTATACATGCAGTTATATCAGTTTCATATAATTTATGTATTACTAGAAATTGATCTTTTACGGACGACCGTCGACATGTTTGTGGCCGGTACAGATAATCTGATGGTCTCCACAAAATGGATACTGATGGCTCTGGTCAAGTACCCGGATGTACAGTCGAAATGTAGATCGGAAATTTTAGAGGTACGTCAAGTACTGGACTCTTAACACAGACATGACAATAAAGAGGAACACGGAAGGAGATTGTTCTATTGTACTTAATTTTTAACACACGCTCTGAATGTCATTTTGTAATTTCTGAATGAAACACTCCCTGTAAGTACGTTAGGCCTTAGCCTAAAAAGCGACTGCTTGGCTCGCCTTAGCGGGCTCACACGTGAAACCTACAGCAAACCCATGCCATTTACCAAACTCCCAGAAATTTTACATAGCAGACCCGAGCGAACGCGATGCGGACAAGCAGACAGACGGGCAGATAGGCCAAAACTTTATGCTCCCGAATCTTCAAATACGGGGAATAAAAAAACCCGATTTAAAAACTTTAGGTTCATGGTATAATATTTATGTCCCCCGCTTTCGCTGAAGAGAGGGAACATTAAATCTCAACTGTTTGTTCGTCTGCCAGTCCGTCCGTCTATCACAAAAATCTTAAACCTTCATAATTTTTGAAGGAGAACATATAGGACTTTAATTTTTCAGACATACATCATCTGTAACATGTCCTTTCCAAACATCAGTTCCCATTCGTTTTACCGGTCTTGTACAGTAGGGTTTCCCCCGGATAACTGACTCTAGAGAAGGATCACCCCGGAAAACTGACTCTAGAGTAGGATTTCCTCCCGGAAAACTCTAGAGCAGGATTTCCCCAACGGAAATCCCATACCAGAGTTAATTTTCAGGGGGGATCCTACTCTGTGTATTTGTTTTAGAGTGTGATTTTTTCCATATCCAATTATTCCCCAAATAAAATATAATTGCTCAGCATATGTTTTGAACGGGAGAGGGGCGGTACATTGTTACGTGTCCCTCCTTTAAAATGGTGACCAGATGTATTGAACATACCTATACGAAGATGGGAATTGAAAATTTTTAAATCTCATTTTTTTCTGTCAAACCAATTTTTTTTAGATCAAATAAATTGATGATACCAGAGACTATAGGTTAACATTTAGTCTTTCCGTCCGCTTGTCTGTCTAGCTGTCCCTCTGTCTCAGATGGTTTTCTGCACATTTTTTCTCGGTGATTGAAGATATTGAGCTGATATTTGGTATTTAGGTGTATCTTTATGAGTTAAAAATCGAGTTTTATTTCTGCTTTAATATTTAAGGATTTTCCGCAATGTTTTGTTTTATATAAACGAATGGAGATACATGTATTAAATTTTTTCTATTAAAACATCGAATCTGCGGATATTTACATCTGCATTTCTTAAAAATAAAACCTTAATATTTGGGTCGACATTCCATGATTTGAAATTTATGCTTAGAAAATTCTGTCTACATATATAGAAAAATACTCATTTAGCATTTAAAAATCAGTTTGTCGTTTTTTTTTCACAAAAATATTGCAACTGTAATTTATTGACTCTCTAGGAAGGTGGAAATCTTCCTCTGGAAAAGAATGGGGGAGGGGTGAAAATTGGCTCTGGTCAGTTCTGGTGTGAGATTTCCCCTTGGGGGAAAAATCCTACTATGGAGTACGATTTCCGGGAGGGTGGCTATGGGGGAACTTCTTCTCTACAACATCGATACCAAAATGTAATACTATTGAAGAAAAAAATCTTAAATAAAAAATTAATAGATTGGTTTAGAAGTACCTATTCAGATCTTTGATTGATATTATATTATTAAACGTTTTATTAGGTTATTGGTCGAGATGAAAGGGTCCAATCACACGACAGACAAAAGACACCTTACACTATAGCCACTATAAAGGAAATCCAGAGGATGTACTCGCCAGGTAGGTAGATGTGAAAAGGTCTTACTAATAAATCACCAGGACAGACAAAAGACACCTTACACTATAGCCATCCCCAATGACTGATTTTTCTTTATACTTTATATTTTTCTTTATATTTTAGTGACCTTGACGCCATTCCACTGTCCTGAACAGGACATAACGATCGGAGAGTATGACATCCCCAAAGATTCCATCATTATGATAGACTGCAGAGCACCGTGTAAAAATGCAAAGTTTTGGGAAAACCCAGACATCTTCAATCCTGACCGATTTCTTGATCTTAATGGCATGCAACGGTTACCAGAGGCATGCTTTATTCCTTATGGAACAGGTGAAAACTCAAGATTCATTGTTTTAATTTTCTAAACGAGATCAATTACCAATGGGTGGTGGGTTTTGTTCTAGAGTCGCAGAATAAGGAGTTGATTGCAATTGATCCTTACGTCATGGGTTCAACTCCAACTTCGGGACTGGGGCTGTTGTTTTATGCTGTTGTATTTAGAATCATAATCCCACAACCCTACTCTATTTTCAATGGACTAGGGTCAAAATTCAACACCTCTTGTATTAATATTCAACCTTGAAGAATGACCTTCTGGACAAGTTTCAACGCTGGTCAAATTTCTACGCCTGCCCTACGCCTGATGAGACCTTATAAACTGAGGACCCTGTAAAGATTATTAATTAAAATTCATTCATTCATACCATCTTGATTAATACCAGTATTCTCTTCCATCGTCCTGCTATCCATTGTTTGGGAAATTAACTAATGAAGTTTTCGGTAAAAATATATAATTTTTATGCCCCCGTAATCAAATATTCGGGGATATATAGTTTTTGTCTTGTCCGTTTGTTGAGCTGTCTGTCTGTTTGTCTGCAAAAACTTGAACCATGCCAATAACTTTTAATTTAGTGGAGATATGACTTTCATATTTCACAAGTGTATTCCTTGTGACAAGACCTTTTTTGGGGTACACAAAATTTGACTTTCTGACTTTGACCTTGGAGTTTGACCCACTTTTACACCAAAATTCAAAACTTTTACTTTGGCCGTAACTTTATAACGGTTTGAGCTGGGACTGTCATACTTCATATAAGTATTCTTTGTGACAAGACATTTAACAACTTGGACCTTGAAGTTTGACCTGCCTTTTAAAATCTTATCCTTGGCCATAACTTTTGAACAGGTGGTGCTAGGGCTTTCATATTTCACAATTGTATTTCCAGTGAGAAGACGCTACTTTGTGTACCAATATATAAAATTTACATTTGAGAAAAGTTTAATCTTGTTTCAGTTTACCATTGTAATATATTGATATTTGGTTACTATAAAAAATACGTCCCAAAATGAATGAAAAACTCTAGGACAACAGTTACTCCTACAAGTAAGAGAATCGGATAACGTCCTTACGCTCCTTATATTACGCAGGGCCAAGTCAAAAGTATCTCACCGTGAACCTCTGGCATGCTGGAGTAGGACAACAGTATGCATGATCATTTCTTTAATTACTAGACTCCTCTTTGGTTTTTTAATGTTTCTATTAACAGTAAAAAGAATTCTCAGATTTGCAAGGAAATTCTGTAAGTGATAATTATTAGTTCTTCTGATTAGCCTAAGTCTAAAGCGAAAACAGAAAAAATACCTTGGTACTGGTATTATAGACATTCTGTTATACAAATACAAATTTACATTAATTCTTAAATGAATTTTAAATCTTATTGTTTTAGGTCCTCGATATTGCATTGGTAAATACATAGCGGACATCTTCCTGTACATGTTCACCGCAAACATTCTACAGAATTTCCAGATCACTGCCAGTAATCCAGAGGAGGAGCTGTCATTTGAGAACGTCTTTAATCTGTTCGGCCTTCACCCTCAGCACTTTGACAAAGTGGAACTAAAAGACTTCTGAATGATGATTGTATGTCCAGACTCATGCTGAGACAAACGGCAATAAAAAAATGTAGAATTTTTTTTTACAATGGACTTTTACTTGTATATTTCAGGCCAGTTAAGTGATGTAGTAAATATTTGTTTTCTTTGTACGAACATTGTATTATATATTGTAAGTACAATAACTTGTTATTACAGAAATGCATCTCATTATTTATTTTTATATGTATGTCCTCTACTTTTTAAAATAAAAATCTTATATACTTGACTATGTACTTTTCTTATTTAACTAAATACAGCTTGGGATAATTCCTTCTAGACATAAACAAAACTCTTCTAGGTACCACGCCCAGATGCCCTACTTGTACATTTAGATCTTATGATAAACATAAAATGGATGATTTAAATAGATACAGACGGTTTCCGATCCATATTATCTCTGAACATCCGCTAAAGTTTTAAGGACTTTCCAAAGTATGAATTAAATCAAGTTGTCTGGGTCCATCCTTATCCTTTAAGCATTTCAAGCACATGCATTTGTTACATGTCAGTAGTGTATAGTAAATTTTAACTCATTGTATATTATTATACTGTGGGTTAAAAATTTATTGCAGAAACAAGTGCCTGTGATTTCAAATACAACAATCGCCATACACCTACTTAAGACTGAAGTGCATATCGTGATTTGCAACATGCATATAAGCATGTTTCCACATGAAAGTCATTTTTCAGTTTTTTCCCAGAATTTTTAAACAAATAACCAGTATTTGTATTTTAGATTCAAAGGCTGAAAAGGGAAATTGTTACATGTATGAACACAAAGAACTTTATCATTCTTTACATTGCAATTGGTTATGTACATTATGTAACTTAGCATGCTTATATAACACATACATGTACATCAGTATATCTGATGGGGAAAATGTCTGCAAATTAATAAAAACGGAACAAGGCAAATGGGCAAATGGTATGATTTTTTAATAATATGAATAGACTCCTGGGAGAGCGTTCAAGAGCGTAGTAGCTATGTGACCTTTACAAGCTACAATCTTGAACACAAATGGCAGGGACCTATATACTAGTATACTAGTATATACGTCCGTGCAAATGGTAGCGTCAGTATTTGGGATGCGTTCAACAGTGTTCAATAGCGTCGCGGCTATATAGCTTGGATCCTAAAGGGTGCTAAGTAGGGAGATTTGATGTCGTAAACTGTCGAAAATAAAGCTTCTTTATCAGCTTCTTTGGTAAAAAATCAAAATCATAAAAAATATTGTTTAATCTGGCGTTTTTCCAGGCTTTTTTTAAGACTTTGATAGTTTACGTGCCACATGTCAATAACAAAAACATAATAAGATGTGTTTTGAAACTTATGGCAAGGGTTGAAGTTTCTCAAATACAATTCAAACCTCAAGGTCAAGTTCAAATTTATTGGTATCCAAAGGAAGGTCTTGTCATAAGGAATAAACATGTGAAACATGAAAGCTCTAGTACTAACTGTTAAAAAAGATATGGCCAGGGTTCAAGTTTTTTTTTACAAGTGGGTCAATTCCAAGGTCAAGGTTAAAATATTTACATCCATTGAAAGGTCTTTTCAAAATGAATACACATGTGAAGTATAAAAGCCATAGCACAAACTATTTAAAAAGTTATGAAAAAAGTTGAAGTTTGGTATTTCTTTGTAAAAGTTGGTTAAACGCCTAGGTCAAGAGTTCAGATTTGGTGGTACCTATAGAAAGGTCATGTCACAAGGAATACACCTAAAAGGCTGTGAAATATGAAAGCCATAGTCCCATCCACACAAAAATTATGGGCAAGGTTAAAGTTTATGTGGACAAACAGATAGGGCAAAAACTATATATCCCAGAACCTTTGATTTACAGAAGAATAAAAAAAGCGATATCACCAGGCTCCTTAAATATTTCACAACTGCATTTTTGAAAGATAAATCAAAATGTAATTTAATGAAACAATTGATATTGATAACATAGTGCTTCCCCAGAATACACAACTAATACTGCAGTAATCACTTTAACATGTTTATTGTGTATCAACTCAAAACTTGTGGATACAACTAAATAGCTACATAAGTTACTTTTACTTCTCTTGCACAACAAAATGTTCTCTTACACATTGTCAAGTCAATAATGAAGTGTGATTATGAAGTTTCCTGCATGATGTATCTCCATGTGTGAAAAAACAACCTCAGCAAATGATTAAATGGATGGTCCAGTTGTTGATTAACAGCCAAAATGATCATTGATGGCATCTATAAGGTCTGCTTTCCTTGTGCCGGAGGCAGAAATTCCCTCTTTTTTCACAATCTCTTTCAAAACTGCCACTGTCAACTTTCCAAGCTGTGAAAATTCAATATAAATTCATACATTAAAACTTTCCGTTTCCACTCTTGTTTGACGTAAAAACTTCACTCCTTTTGGATTGAAAACATTGCATGTTAAAATCACTCATGCTCTCCATAAGCAAAAAGGGAGGTCAAAGGAGACAAAAGGCCATGTTTGGACACCAGGGTATGTTTAATTAAATAATTAACAAATATATTCCATACATTCGTCAAGATCACCCTTTCTGTATTATACTAATGATCTTAGGCCAGGAGTTGTGTTTCACATCATGTTCATAATCATATTCTTCAAAGAAGATGGGGGAACAAGGCAGGCAGAATGCCCATAGCGTCCGATATTAAGAAATCATTCAATATGTAAACTGAGTATTTCAATTAACTTATAATTATTGAAATTTTTGAAATTATGAGAAAAAAAAAGCTTTTCTGAGAGATAAAAAACCTCGTAAAAAATTTTCTTTCATAAAATTAATAGATGGTATTCGTGGGATTCAAACCCTAGCAATAAACATCCAACGTATCAATAGCAAACTGCTTTCAGACTAACATGTTAACAACTATGCTACATCACTCATGGTGATTTTGGGCATTTAAATCATGTTTGTGATATGACACACGACTTAATGGACTTGAAGTTTTTCTCAGAAAGATGCGAATGTTGTGTCATAAAAGTGTACTTTTAAAGTATAGTGGTTCTTCACTCCATGTTTTTGTAAACCAAAAAATGTGTATTTAATTGCAAACTTTAAGGAAATGGAGCAAAGACCCACTCTTATTGAAAAATTTTGTTAAAGTACGAGAAAATGATCGTTTTTGTTCTTTTTAGTATGTGAAAGCTTTTTCATAGGCAAATATTTTTTGTTTTTGTGAGATTTTTGTGAATTGTAGAGATTTTACATAAAGAATACTTTAATAATAGATGAAATATCAAATAAAATTTGGATTTAATCGAGATTAAAATTTTCACTTCTTGTCTGTCACCTCATAGGCACTTTGCCCGCCTTATCCCCCCATCTTCTTTTATAAAACAACTGGTGGACACAAATGTTCAGGGAAGCTGTGTTTACCGGTAATATTTCCTATTCACATGTATTACCAACTAAGCCCCATGCTCAAACCTGAACCAAATAATTTATTTGCCATGATGAATGGACTTAAAAAAAATTATTATGTAAATTTGGTCCGAAATTATACAGTAGCTCTAGAAGCATATAAACCAAGAAATGCATTTCTCTTCTCATAATACACTACATTTAAATTATAATAATTGAGGTGTTCTTGATGACCTTGAACCCTACTTGAGAAGACACGACTACTCTTGTCACACACTGAAAGGTCTGTGCAGTCAACTCTGGGCATGATAAAGAGCAGCTGTTTTCAAATTAGTGTCAGCTTATTCTTACAAAAAAAATTTAAAGACAAAAATGTAAAAAAAAATCTTGAATATTACAATATTTATACATCAACAAACAGAAGCAATGCAGTAAGTTGATAAAACATCAATGTAAAAAAAGAAGGAAAAATGAAAAGTGTTGTTTTTTTTCTTTTGCTTTTGCCTCAAAATAACTTCCTTGTTTTTAGAAAACATTTCCTTCCTTAACCTCATTATCTATCAACAAAGTGGAAAATAAGACAAACATGTACTTGTAACCATACATGTTAACCTATTGTGATGAAAAAGACTTGAATCCTGGATATAAAAGCGGTATGAATATGAATAAATGTTATGTAAATCTTTTCTTATGTTTTAGGCATGTAGAATTTACTATAAATTAATTAATGATAAATTACTTTCTTTTAATTCAACAGCAAACACAAGAAACACAAAATGCTTAATTTTGACATAAATTGTACAAATTCAAATATTTTTTTCATCATTTTACTTGGATTGGCTGCTTTAAGAATATTTTCCATTGATCATAGTGAAAAACACAAGTGTAACTAAAATTATAGTTATTCTTTTTTCCAAATTGGTAATGTTTTCTGAAAAACAATAGAAATATCTGTATAAGTATATAAATCATATATATATATATATATATATATATATATATATATATATATATATATATATATATATATATATATAATTTCTATTAACCCCTTTCATGGTAAAGATTTTAAGCATTTCTAGAGAAAATGAAAACAAGATTTCAATGCATTTTGGTGGTATTTCTTGTAATTTTTGTATATACCAATGTATAAATATTCTCAAAGCTGGTATTGTATAGTTTCTGAAAGTGACTATAAAAATATAATATCCATGGCAGCGAAATACACCATTTTCATGCTGGAATTTCCATTTATTCAAGAATAAGAATGAAATATTTTAGTTAAATATTATTAAAAATTAGAATTTTATTGCTGAAAATGGAATGACTTTACTTTACTGGTCCCCAGAAAAACTCGCTAAAATGTAGTGTCGCTGAAGGTGACTTCAGTATTTATTAAATCAATTTTAAACAATTCAAGTGACTTATCAAAAACATTTAATTTTGAAGAAAGAAAAAAAAAACTGTGTAAGGTTTTGTCCAAAACTCAAGAAAAGCAATTTGCCTAAATACCAAAATGTCTTGCTTCAGTTTACAAGAACATTCTTAAATAAAGCTTAGCAACATAATAAGGCAACCCAGTAATTGTTGTGACATAATAATCTAATTAATAATCATGCCCTGCATTGTTGCATAAATTACAACATTCTGGTTGAAAACATCTTTTTAACAAAACTCTGACTGATTTTAAGTCAAAAATGTAAGTTTCAAAATTTTGTATTTTTTAACCTTCTGAAAACCTTGACTAAGTCCACTTCATCTTACAAAGTGAATCAAGAGACCCAAGATCACAGATACTTCAGAATCTACCCTTGCTTTGTGCACTGAATGCATTATTGAAACTATGCAATGTACCTTTGAGTTCCAATTTTACAGAACACCTACTTTTTTTCATTTTATAACTGATAAGTACAAACTTTGGAGAACACCTACCCTTCCCGCCTCAGCCTCTTTTTTGACATCGATGGACACGGAGGCCTCGGCAGTTTTAGATTTCTTAGCAGCAGCAGTGCCCGCAGCTCCACCTGCCTTCTACAATTCAGAAAAGTTAGATTAATCAACGTTAAAAATGAGAAAGTCGCATGCCTTCCTTTTGAATATGTTTTTGAAATTTTTCTTATATAACCTTTTGTCCAGCTATAAGCTATAGAGGCTCCAACCAAGCAGGAGAAAATCCTTTGAAAAAAAAAATCGGATCTCATTCAATGATAGAGCTGTCATTTTTGGCCAATTGATTCTTCAGACAAAGATTTTAAATGGCCTCTCCATATTTTCGAATTTTTATACTGTATACAGGGTTATTTTCACCCTGCTTTATTTTCACCCTTTCACACTTGCAAACAATTTTGCCCCATTTTAAATTCACCCAGTCACAGTTTTGTTTAAGAAATTGTATTGTATTCTTTGAATTCCCCCCTTTAAATTCGCCCAACCGAGGTAAGGGCGAAAGGGGCGAAAATAATACTGGGGTAAAATTTTTTCCTGCATACAGTAAGAGGGATGATCAAAAAGTTCGCAAACTACATGTATCTCTATATCTACAAAACCACAATACAGATTAGAATGAAATTCGGTACACACATAGCCATACACAAGGTCTATAAATAGTATATGCTGAATAAAGTTTCTCTCCTTGTTTGTGATGTCACAATGTGAAAATGACTTCACTATTTAGGTCACTTGTGACGAAAAATGGTTGTCTCAGTTGTCTCAGTCCAACTCGTTCACCAAACGACTGTACAATTTATTGTAATATCTTAGAAATCCTTGTATCATATAATAATTTGTACACAGTTTATTGAGATAAATGAGTTCCTATAAATTCAATTAATGATTGGATTAATCGTTTTAGTGAAGGAAGGCTGATGGTTAAAAATGATGCTTGTCATCTTGCCCAGCGAAAGCAAGTTTGAAAAGATATGTATTTTTAATTAAGCAATTTGCTATCAAAGACCTCCAATTAGCACTTTGAGAAATAGTTGAATATTTGAACAATGATATAAGTATTAAATACCTAAGATATCATTTACTTTAGATTTTAAACATATTAGACGTGATAAAAAGGATGCACCCATTGTCTATCCACCTTGAATAAAGGTCTCTCCTGAGACAGAAGATTTGTGTTTTAATGGTCGCTTATGCTTAAGGATGTTATTATCCACCCATTCTGTTGCCGAGATATGACCATTTCTGACAAATTAACTGTTCTTGTCATAAAAATTAACTCACATGGAAAGAAATATAAAACTCGGAAAAATCTTTTAACTTTTGGGACAGAACGCTACGGAGGGGGTCACGTGACCGCCAATATCAAGTGATTCGCGCATGCGCAGAACGGTGGTTGATGTGCATTAAAATTGGGGAGGATTAATTTAAAATATAATCAACATTAAAACCAAATATTGTTTCTTGTATGGAAGTTATTCAATTAGTTTGCGAATTTTTTGATCACCCCTCGTAATTATTCTTTTTCTAGGGAGACACAAAGAGTTCTTGGAAATTCTGAATAGCCCTTCCAAATGATGCATTGTGGCAATTTTGGTTGAAACTGGCCTTGAGGTTCTGGTAGAGTAAAGGAAAGTTAACAGACATACAGATGAATGGACAAAGGTAAAACTTCATCACAGAAAGCTCACTTGAGCATCTGACTCATCTAAACTGTCCAGTGAAATACTTAGGATAATTGTTATAATACTGATACATGTAGCATATTATATTCAAGTCAATGTGAATTAAATATTTTTATAATTACCCTCTTTTTGGCCCCTGGTTCATATCCACTTGGGAACACTATGTCCTTAAAGTTCTGGATTGCTTCCCCTGCTTTCTTTTTCATTCTCTCTTCGTCAGGCACTGAAATACACCAGGGGCCAACAATGAAATACAGCAGGATACAATATAATAATAAAATAAAGCAGAATCCAATATTAAAGCATAACAGAACAGAGATAATGCAGTTTGACTGTACTTACAAGTAAAGTCCTCCACTTCCTCTGGGGCCGCTCTGTCCAGGGCTAAAGCCTCGATATTCCTCCAGTACTTCTGTAGGGACGGGTTCTCAAAGTTCTCACTGTTAAATGTAAACTTCATCTTCTTTATCATCTCCTTTGCCTTCTCCACCTGACCAGCATCAGCTAATAAAAAGAAATGTTGAATTGAAGACACATTCATCCTAACCAAAAATTACTGAACAATTACAGGAGAAGCTCAGTTTATTCACAGCATATCATGATCTTGATCAGAAATTTAAAAACTAGTCAGAGATATGTATTGAGTACCTTTGGGTTGTTCCTCAAATTTGACTTTTCTGAAATCGTCAGCATAAGGGAGGTAAATCACATGGAAGCCTGGAGGTGAAATCTGGACGTTGTGTTCATCAAACTCCTCATCCTGCAATGTATAACTTCTTTGAAATCTCTTATTTTTTATTTCAGTATTCACAGAACGGCCACTATGCTTTATTTTTTACTTTTCATCTGTCATTTTTAAAAATATTTTAGATATACCTGAGGCACTAATGCTACAAAGCGTGGAGGAAAATTTTTGCCACTGATGTATTTGCAGATTGGAGTTACATCCCTTTCTAGTGATTTCTTGAGAAGAGCTGTAAACAGTGTGGTGCTGCCCGTGATGGTCTTTAAACAGAAGAAAACAAATTACCATTTTTAAAATAAATATGAAAGATGGTTTCTTGTCAGAATTTTAAAAAAAATTTATTGTTTATACAACAAATATTATTTATATGAACAAATAAAGATCACTCCTTCTAAACATGTACAGATATGTTCAAAAATCATTAACTAACTTGGAAACAGCTGAATATTTCTCTTTCAAAAAAAAGGCAATGCATGTTTTGAACCTGTATATATGGTTTAGAATAGGGGTATTTCTATTGTAAGTTTTAATCATCCAATTTAAAAGAGAACTTAATGTATGAGAGTCAAGGCTATATATTTACAGTTTCATCAGGATAAATAAATTGTGCTGGCTTGACATGGTAATATTTTTTCAGAAGACTCGAAGGTTTGAAACCCATCAGTTGAAATCCTGTAAAAAGAGGTTAAAACATGTATAAATTACTAGGCTCAGAATTTAAAAATAAACACTGGAAAAAGATAAACTAGGAACACTCCAAGACATAAAATTCATAAATTATATTACAGTGAAACTTGTATTAAGCAGTCACCTACGGGATCCATCAAAAGTGACCTTTATAGAGAGGTGACCTTTGAAAAGAGGTTCATCTTTTTTTTTAAAAAGAATTTGTTTACAAATTTAATGTGTCAGTTTTGTATTTATATTATGTATTTTACCACAAAATATACAAGAAAGTTAGGTATTGGACATTAGTTATCTCACTTAAATTGTTATTTTTTTTTTGTTTAGGAGATGCATCACTTTTATGGATGATTCAAACTAAATTTAATGAATCCAAGAAAATTAATAAAATACCTGTATACTGAATCTTACACTTACAGGGTGTTGCATTATCCCCCATCAAAACATTTTTTTTCTTTGTGTAAGGAATGAATAAATCAGTTAAAAATTATTTTATCTAAACTTGATTCATAAAATTAACCTCTGTACAATGTATTTTTTTAAATACATGTACACAACTGTACATGATTTATTGTATAATAAACTCTCAGATGTACTTTCAGTTGATCAACAGGTGCACAGGTGTCCTGAGCAATGAAGTGTTACTGATCCCTGACTGTCGTTTCCTTTGTGAAATTCACAACATACCCAAGCCAAAATGTGTATATTGTCTGTAATTATGGCTTCAACAAATGATGCAAGTTTCCTAGGTGTGAAAATTAAAATGCCCATCAAGCATAATACATTTACAACTTTCAGATCATGCAGAGTTGGGTGCGATATCGACACTGCTTGTAAATAGTAAACAAAAATATCATAATCACCAATAGATTAATATAGATCATATGTTGTTCTTTTTTAAAACTTAATTAAAAATCCAGGCTAGGAGGTTATAAACCTTGACTATAACCTAAGATTTTGATCTCGTACTCCTAGGAGTACAATTTTTAGTTGGAGCCAGAGTTGGAGCTGGAGCTGGAGCCCGAGTCAAGGTTTATAACCTCCTAGCCAGAAGTCATAAGACCCTGATAATCAGTTATCGATAATACTAGCATGACTAGTATTCGTTTTTGTTTTTTTTCCTGTTAACTTTTTTCGTCATAAGCATAGTTGTTCGAGTTTTGTAAAATATACATGTAGAAGCAGTAAGTTAGTAAAATGATTCTTGAATATGCTTATCCAGTAAAATAATTGCTTCATTTATTAATTTTTATTCACGATCCCGCACTCTTGACTGATTATTTACATTAGTAACAAAAATTGGGAATCAGCTGACTCCAGATCAGGTCACGTGATTGGACAAAATGGCCGCTAAAGACAGGGAAAAGTGGCGATTTTGTTTGAAATTAGGTGACCGCTGACCGCGTTACGCAGGTGACCGCTAAATAGACTTACTTTATATAGGAAATTTCATTGGGAGGAAATAAAATGACCGCATAGGACAAGTGACCGCTGGATAGAGGTGACCGCTATGACAAGTTTGACTGTATAAATGACATAAATGGTATGATGTAATGATGCCTTGAATGTTAAAAAAAAATAATAAAATGGAAAACTAGTATCAGATGTTTCAGATATTTTCATAACTTGACACCAAAAAAATATTAATGTTGTCTTTATTATCATCATCCTCAAACCTCAGAAAAAAAATTTTGTGCTTTTTACTTGGAGCCTTCAGGTTACATTTTTTACATACATTTTCCTTACAAGTGATACAAGAATAAAATCCCCACTTCTGGATACATGCACATTTTTTAAACATGCATGGAATCAAATTTTTTTGGAAATAAAGCCAAAAGTTTATAAAGGTATAATACCAGTTTCTCCAAAATTTTTTATCTGGTTCAGTTCATCATTTTCAAAACTGATTCTCTTTCCTCCGTAAGTCTGTGCCTTCTTCAGGTCCTGGGGCATCAGTACTTCACCAGTTTCCTGTGTAGGGTGAGAGAAATTGTAATGTATTTTTTTCTTTATTCATTTCATTCTATTTGAATGTTTTACAATTAAAGAATATGCGATTGGTTCAGATGACTGTGTTTCTTGTCTTCAGTGTAGAAGTTATACAGTGGTAGAAAAAAAACACTTCCTAGCATATCTCATATAAAATCCTTCTCAACTCAAGTACCAACTCACCTGTAAATATGTCTTTGAGTGAGTTTTGAGTTCTTCATTTGTGTTTCTGTATAGCTTCACAGCCGATGGTTTATAACAAGGACGGACTAGTGTGTACCTATAAAGAAAATGAAGGTACTGCTATTAGAAATTAGTACAATACCCGGTAATTACCTTTCAATTTGAAATTAATAATAATTTATTAGTTTAAAGTATATAGTCATTTGATGCAGACACATGAACTGATACAGTGATAATATTTTTAAGTATACAGCTTGATTTTGTTATCATTATTTTAAAATCTTACAATTACTGTATCCTAAAACAAATGTACTGAGAGTAACCCCATGACTTACACTCCAACCCCTAAATCCAGCCCTGGCCCCAGAGAAAGTGGGATCCTCCTCAGTGCCCTCTTCTTGTGGTCCTTTGAACGTACCCTGAACATACATAAACAAAAGAAATAATTTAATCATGAAAGAAAAGATATTTTTAATATTTATCAATGTTTTTTTTTTCAAAGAAATAAATTTTAAATATAATGGAATCAAAAAGTTTCAATGGAGCACTACAAGTACATTGTAGTATGCTACAGATGTCAGTCTTGTTTAATTTTATGAAATTTCCAGCTGTGGCAATGTATTCATCCTGTATGGTATATACATGTGTAAATTTGACTTCATTTTTATGCTAAATATTTTTTTTCCACAATATAATTTCCAAGAGACAAGTATTATCTGTTTTTATTTAAGGTCTCCTGCCTTAACAATACGCCTACCAGTATTTACATTTTAATCTATGATGAACAATGCAATAGACTTTCAAATAAATAGATCTTTTGCCCCACATTTCTTCTATTAAAATAAAGAAATAGAAATAATACATTGTAATTCAAGCATTACAAAGACAATATTTCTTTTAAGCTACAGCCTGAACAGTCAGTCAAATTTTGCATAGATTTTGCAAAGTAACAATGAATACCTGGTAAGTAGTTCTTCAAGTCTTTCTGCTGGGTCAGCCATTTCTGTGAAGTCATCATCGGCAGTGTACAGTAAATCCTGAATAAAAACAATCAATTTTGCATTTACACTTGTAATTCACAGATTAATAAACTCAGAATTATTATGTTTCATAACATTCAAGAGAGTTGCAAACAAAAAAGTTAATTTTTCCAGATTACCAAAAATTTTAAACTGACAATATACATGTGTAAAATGTTCTAACTGAAGAATTAGATATTATTTTACTTTTAATTAAATAAAAAAAATATAAATGTATAAGTACAATAACATACATGTAGCATTACTAGCATATGGTGTTAAGCTTGTATTAATACATGGTTAAAATATAAAAGAACTATATTCGGTATATTGCATATCTTTGTCCCGACAAAAATCAATTTTTAAAAAATTCTGAAAATGTGTTGTATTGTATAAATTGTATGAAAAATATAAATTAACTAGAACTGTCCAAACGGGACAATATACCCCTCGCTGGGTTTTTCAGAAGTAAGTTTTTCCATAAGAAAGATATGTATCAAACATGAATTATGAAATTTTTTTCCAGTGACCTTGAAGTTCCCCAAATGACCTTGGGTCAAGGTCATGACACACCCTTGGGTCATGGGCAATCTTTGTGTGAAATGAGAACCTACCAAGTTAATCAATAAGAAAGATATGAACCGGACACAAATTATGAAATTTTTCTTCCAATGACATTGAACTTCCATAATTGACCTTGGATCAAGGTCATGACAAACCCTTGGGTCATGGGCAATCTTTGTGTGAAATGAGAACCTACCAAGTTTATCCATAAGAAAGATATGAACCGGACAAAAATTATGAAATTTTTCTTCCAGTGACCTTAAAGTTCCCCAAATGACCTTGGGTCATGACACACCCTTGGGTCAAGGGCAATCTTTGTGTGAAATGAGAACCTACCAAGTTTATCCATAAGAAAGATATGGACCGGACACAAATTATGAAATTTTTCTTCCAGTGACCTTGAAGTTCTCAAAATGACCTTGGGTCAAGGTCATGACACACCCTTGGGTCATGGGCAATCTTTGTGTGGAGTAGTAGATTCTAATGTCCCTTTGTAAGAAAGATATGGACCGTTCACGATTGCACAGACGGACGGACAGATGGACAAGGTGATTCCTATATACCCCCCCAAACTTCGTTTGCGGGGGGTATAACAAAACGTATCATAGTTTCAAAGAAGGTTATTGACAATTTTTGTTTTTTAATATGACGTCACAAACTAGTCGGATTTTGCATGATTTTTTAGAAAAAGGACAAAATTGACAAAATTCCAACAATTTTAGCTATAGAATTTATAGAGCGCAGGTCTGCTCAGGAACAACAGGGGTTCAAAAATCCTTAAGCCCGACGTCCCGGACTAACAAATTCCGGATCCGGACTCGGCATTTAGAATTCGCCAAAGTCCTGGGACTTGGCTATGTTTCTTGTTTATCTTTTTTATAAGTTAAAAAAATGATCGTAAAGCTAAAAATAAAGCAAATTCTCAAATGTATTAAGTAAAAATGTGGGTTTGTGGGCGTTAAAATACCCATAAAACATTACAAACGTTTCGAAAATACAATCCGTCTTTTTATTTTCCGTTGCGGTTAGACCCTTGCTTTTACGCAATTCCTCATGTTTCCTCCTATATGACAAACGGCAATGAGTTTGTAAAATTTCGGTTTTAGCTGTGACTTACAGCACATTCTAATTTCTATTTATTGTAACAGATGGTTTATTCAGCAGTGAGTATTTGTAAAAGTTATTGTAATGTACCAGTAATCAGTATCCGTCTGGTATTGTGTTGAAATACTCATGTATGACTATATATGACAGTTTATGGAGGAAAAATAAAACATATATTAATACATATGGTCTTTATTCATTCAATGCAACAAATGAAAATAAATTATAAGTTACATAAATTTAATGATGTATAGGTAAATATGGACTCTGAAATTTCTTCCTCGGACTTGCCTAAAATTTACTCTTCAAGTCCTGGACTTGACCATGACAAAAAAAATTTTGAACCCCTGAACAATATATACATATTAAATTGATATTATCATTCTACACATTATATCAAAATATTGAGCCTGAGCAGACCTGCGCTCGGTGATTTTTACTCAAAATATTGACGCAATTTTTACATTTTTTTGTAGAAATCATGGAAATTTTAAATATACGTCAATTTCCTGACGTCATTTCAAACATATGACGTCATTGCTAATGAAAATATTCAGTGCCTTGAAGTCAGCATGTATCCCCCTGTTTTAGAACATAATTAAATTTTACTCCATCAAAGTTTGATTTTTGGGGCAAATATTGGTTACTACCGAATAAAGTTCTCTAGGGCGTATTAAATCCTTGTGAATGCTTTGCCTACAATGGTTCTTTCTACAATAAAAAAGACAAGTCACCTTGTAAAATTTGCTGACGTTAAAGCTTTCGTTTGGCTTCTGAAGATGCATCAACTCCAGATCTATTCCTGTCTCATTCAAATCACTGGCCTTTGTCTTCGCTTGTCGCTAAATGATGGTTAAAGATACAATTTTATTAAGGACTATGCATTCCTTATTTACATATTTACATTTATCTAAATATATGAACTCATTATTTTATTTATTTAAAGTAAAAATTCACATTATAACATCTGTAATCTATAGGCTCAGTCACTTAAATATATTTCTCCCTAATAAGGCGACTAAAAAAATGTGCATAATATATTTAATTCATGCTTTCCCAGTTTAAACTTTGATGATAAATGATTAGTTCTGCACTGACTGTATTAAACAGAGCCCTGTCTACCTGAAGCTGTGGTGAGCCAGCGTGGGGGTTATCGTTATTGGTGAACAACAAGATCCGCTTGTAGGAAACCTTTTGTGGACTAAAAACAGATTTTAAAAAAGTTGTAATTATATATCACATAATATATACTTATTTGCCTGTAAAGATGATTTATTAGAGGAGTTCATTGATTCATCCATAAAACATTTATCTAAAATTAAATTCCTAAAAAAAATGATGCTATGAAACAAAAGAAAAAACTAGAATCAATTTCATTTTAAATTCATAGGAAATTTTTTCTCCCCATTTTTATTTATATATGCTTCCATGTGAATGAAATATAATAATCAAAATATGTGTAAGACTGACCTGTTGGCAAACATATTCTGACAGGTCCATAATGCATCATTCAGGGAATATGCTGTATTGTGTCCAAAGTCCTTGTCAAATGTTTTCATTCCATCTGAAATATTGTGAGAAATAAATAGTTTTAACAAAATTAAAAAAAAAACACTTTGATTATTCCTTTTTTTTCTTTTAAGAATTGAGGGAAATCTGGCCAAAAACTTGCAGTTTTCCCCCCATAGTATTGTGACCTACCATCAATTATATTCTCCAATTCCAAAATCCTTTCTGCTCCTGGCTGCTCTAATCCCTAAAATATTTAAGGATAATCAACTTAAAATATACAAGATATATCTGAAATCACTGTTTATGTTGATATTAACTAATTATATTTACCTGGTATACATAGATGTGTTTGAAATCACTGGGATTTTGGGATTTTTCCTAGAAAAAAAAGAATAACATGAAGTACAACCATTGTTCACTGTGAATACATAAATGAATCAATACTTTCAATACATGGCTAAATATTCAAATGGTGAAATTTAATTTCTTTTTTTCTTTGTACTCAAGGGTAAAATTTGGATGTTTGAAATCAGTTTTACAGAAGTTTTCAATGCTGATAATGATTTAATTTACATGCATAACATTTTCACTTTTTTTTTTATTAATGGAGATGCGAAGACAAAAAATGGATAATGCTTACAGTTCCAAAGAAGACTATTCCTACAAGATCTTTGTCACTGCTGATGATCTTGTTCTGAAGCGTTGTCTTGGCACACTGTAAAAATATAACAGTTTGTAAGTACAGTTAAGGAAGATTATCTAAAGCTTTTTTTAAACACATTAATTCTGATAATAAAAATATATGCATATACTTTAAAACAAGAGGCCCATGGGCCTTATAGGTCACCTGAGTATCATGCCACAACTTTCCAACAATTGAATTTGATTCATGTTTTAAACTAGAGGCCATGAAATTCACAATTTTGAAAGGGACACCATTGCTTATCATAATTATACACTCAGCATGCTTATTTTGGTTACTTAATACCCAGAGGTAGATCAGAGTAACAAAGAGAAAATGCATTTCCACTTTTAGTGAATTTCAGGGCCCCTGGGTCAGGGCTTCTTGTGTTCACTGGTCCACAGTTGAGCTCCCCATCCCTCAGGAACCACTGACCCTGGGGCCATATCTTTCAAAATTTTGGAAATTTTTTAAAATCTAATTTCATCATGCTGTTAATTAATACCAAAGTGCAGATTTCAAAGCATTAAATTATTTTAGACTATGATGCCCCCCCCCCCCCCCTCAAAGTACCTCTGTCCCAGGGGCCAGGAAATTAACGATTTTTGGAAGAAGCAGATTTTTTTGTCACAAATATATATTAAAAGCATTTGGCATTATATCCAACAAAAAAGGAAAAGATTTTCAAAGGATTCATGCACTTTCACTATATAAACATTAGAGCCCCACCCTAACACAAGAAGCCCTAACCCAGGGACCCTGAAATTCAAAAATCTCAAAGAGGCATCCTTCCTCCTCATAACTATGTTCATAGTTCATTGGTTAAATACTCAGGTGCAGAAAAGAAGAGTTTTAAAGAATTTATGCATTTTCACTATATGAATAATAAAGCTCCACCCTAACACCAGAACACCCAATCCAGGGGCCATGAAATTCACAATTTTGGAAGAGGTAGACTTTTTTAACACAACTATGTACTTTGTTAGTTTATTTAATACTCAGGAGCAAAGAAGAAATTTTTCAAAGAAATAATTCATTTTTTACTATATAATCTACATAGCCCCGCCCTAGCACTAGAACCCCTGACCCTGGGGCCATGAAATTCACAATTTTGGAAGAGGCAGCGTTATTCAACATAGCTATGCACTTGGTTAGTTTATTTAATGCCCATGAGCAGAGAAGAAGAATTTCAAAGAATTTTTGCATTTTCACTATATACTCTATATAGCCCCACCCTACCACTTGAACCCCTGATCATGGGGCCATTAAATTCACAATCTGAGAAGAGGCAGTCTTATTCAACATAACTATGCACTTGGTTAGTTTATTTAATGCTCACAAACAGAAAAGAAAAATATCAAAGAATTTGTGCATTTTCACTATATAATCTATATAGCCCCGCCCTAGCACTAGAACCCCTGAACCTGGGGCCATGAAATTCACAGTTTTGGGAAAGGCGGTCATATTCAACTTACCTTTGCACTTGGTTAGTTTATTTAATGCCCAGGAGCAGAAAAGAAGAATTTCAAAGAAATAATGCATTTTCACTATATAACCTGTTTAGCCCCGCCCTAGCACTAGAACCCCTAACCCTGGGGCCATGAATTTCACAATTTTGGTAGAGGACTCAATGCTGATTACAATCATACCAACAGTTTGACTGCTTGACGTCCAGGAGTAAAGAAGAAGATTTTTAAAGATTGCACTAATTTTAGTGGTTTTTGCCCCACCCCCCAGGCCCCACGCGGGCAGGGACCATGAAATTCACAATTTTTGTTCCCCTTCACCCATAGATGCTGTATGCCAAATTAGGTTGAAATTAGTTCAGTGGTTTCAGAGAAGAAGCTAAAAATGTTCAAATGTTAACGCACGACGGACGACGACGGATGAAAACAGATAGCAATAGGTCACCTGAGTTTACACAGGTGACCTAAAAAAAACAGGTACCAGTAAATGTCTTTAAACATTGGAATATAATAGTGAGTTGTACATAGATGAGAAATTAATATCAATCAACAGTTCCTGACTTTAAGATTTGACTTTAAGATTTGTTTTCATTACAACATCTTATTGGATTCTCTATCCTACCCTCAGACAAAGTTACACATTACTGGATCCTCAGTCTTACCCTCACACAAAATAACACATTACTGGATCCTCAGTCTTACCCTACATTACTGGATCCTCAGTCTTACCCTCAGACAAAGTTGGAAATGGGATTCCTCCTCTTCATTATCTATATCTTCTTTATCAAACATAGACTTTGAGCAGTCAACCAAGAAGATTAAACCATCTCTTTGAGCTCTTGTCTGTTCAATAGATTAAAATGTACACAGTGAGCCTTTGATTTTCATTACGCATCACCGGTAAAACTCAGTTTGCGACCTCAAATCACAACCAGAAGTCTCTGTCGAGACTGAAGCTCTACTGGTTTGTACTTATTATAAAGAAAGAGAAAAGTAGCAGTTGGGATATAAAACTTTACAAAAGCAATAAACAGAATAATGAGAAGAACCGATATACAGAATTATGTATCTTAGTGTAGTGTACTTGTGTGCCAAGTTATATTGAAATCAGACCAAAACTGTAGGAGGAGTAGCATTTTGAAAGTATTTTTTTAAATTCTATTTTTAGTAACAATGGCAACACCGTTCATCGAAATCCAAAACCGCTATATAGAATTATGTATCTTTGTGTTGTCTACTTGTGTGCCAAGTTATATTGAAATCAGATTAAAACTGTAGGAGGAGTAGCATTTTGAATGATTTTCACAAATTTTTCTATTTTTAGTAACGACAACACCGTTCATCGAAATCAAAAACCGATAAAAAGAATTATGTATCTTTGTGTAGTCTACTTGTGTGCCAAGTTATATTGAAATTAGATTAAAACTGTAGGAGGAGTAGCATTTTGAATGATTTTCACAAAAAATTCTATTTTTAGTAACAACTGCAACACTGTTCATCAAAATCTAAAACCGATATACAGAATTATGCATCTTAGTGTAGTCTACTTGTGTGCCAACTTATATTGAAATCAGATTAAAACTGTAGGAGGAGTAGCATTTTGAATGATTTTCACAAAAAATTCTATTTTTAGTAACAACGGCCACACCGTTTTGAAATCAAAAACCGATACACAGAATTATGTATCTTAGTGTAGTCTACTTGTGTGCCAAGTTATATTGAAATCAGACCAAAACTGTAGGAGGAGTAGCATTTTGAAAAATTGTTTACAGACAGACAGACAGACAGACGGAGCTATTACATCATCTGAAATAGGGTAAAAACCAAGTCAAATTAGATTACATTTGTAGCGAGCGCAGCGAGGCGGCGCAAAGCGCCGCTCGCATAGCGAGCTCTTAAAGCAACGCCTGTGCGAAGAGAAAATTCTACTGCACATTCAATTTGGACCTACAATGCATCACTTGTTTTAGCTACATTCTCGCGAGATTAACGGCAATTGTTCAACAAAAAGTTTACTCGCCTTGATTTAATGGATAAACATTGAAAAAAAATTAGTAAACAAAACGTTCTTCATTAATTTTCAGCACTGTACAGTATATTGCGACTTACATACGTCATATGACGTCATAGACGCACCAAATGTCTGCTTTGCCCCATCTAAATCAAAAACAATAGAAGAGTTTGCGCTCGCTCTCTAACGGTCGCACCGTCAACATATTAAAAATTATCTCTTCATAATATTGGTCGATCAGCTTCAATTCTGCAGAAAGCAATTAAATTAAACTTCAATTGAACCATTCATTTTTCATAAACTGATTTACCAGGAAATCAAATCCTGTTTCCTCTTCATTTTCATCATCATCTCCAAAGTTTGCAAATCCAAAATCAGCCATTTTTACATACAATGTATATATATATATATATATATATATATATATATATATATATATATATATATATATATATATATATATATATATATCGATTAACTAGGCCTAGTAATAAGTATATAAAGAAATCTATAGGATAAAAATAATCTAAACCTTCTACATCAGTTTTATCAATTTATGCTACTAAAAGTAAAAGCGAAAATAAATTGTATTGATTATCAGACGAAAACACTGATAAAATATTTATATGCATCCACTTTTTTACACTTTGAAATTGAAATTTTGGTGTAGCAACAGACAAACGCAGCAAATTTTGTGACTTCAATAAAGACAGAGTTAGATGTGATGCGATGACAGTTCAGTATTTCAATATTTTCGAATAAAAGACATACTCAAGCTTCAAATTCTTGATTAGATAAAATAATATATATCGAATAAACAACAAATTATCAATGCTTACAAAGTTTTTACCAAACATAAAATTGCACACTGAACAAATTCGAGATAGAAAGTAAAATTTATTGGAGGAGTACAAAAACGAACAAAATTATTTTTTCATTATAAACGAATATCAGTCAACATAACACAGAAAAATATTTGTAAATAAATGAAATATGATTTTGTGTTTGTAAATTTGTTTTAGTAATCAAAAAAGGATACTATATTTATATTTTCGGACTGTAACTATATCATTCTTAATTTTGTTTTCATAAAATTGGCGCCAGGCATGCGCACTTCAGAAAATCTTCATCATCAAGGTGCTTGTCTAAGAAAGAGTTCGTAAATAAGGAGAAAGAGCAAGAAAAAAGTATTTTGCCCACAATTATTTCATTAAAAATGGCTCATAATTACGTTGTCACGGCACACAAACCGACGGCTGTAAATGCATGTGTAACAGGTAATCTTTATGATGGCAAAATTAAGATAAATGATAGATTTTTCTATGCTATAATGAAATCTGAAAATGCACGAGCCGGTTGTCTTCCTTGACGAGGAGAAAATTATTCAGATTGAAAAAAAAATAAAAGAAATAAATGGAGTGGAGGTTGCAGTTAAGTTTAGAGAGAAATGTCCCAGCATATTTCATTGTGCGGTTTCATGGTCATTGAAAGAGATGATTGGTTAGCCTATTCCCAAAAGCCTTTGAATTTGGGTACATAGCATAGCACTTTGGAACAATGGACCCCTGTGTATTTTTTTGCCCCGCAACGAATATGGCAGGGGCATATATTGTCATGTCCATCTTCAGTCCTTCTGTGAGTTCTGTCGCAATTTGAGTTTATCTCAGTTCAAAGCTTAGTTTCGAAGAAACTATTCAAGATATGTTAATGTTTATCAAACTTCAAATGCTGATAGATGTTGATGAGAGCTTTTCAACTGCATGGACATTTTTTGACCTTGACCTTTCCATTGATCTTGTTTTCAGTTGTCTTAAATTAATGTTAAGTTCAGTTTTAAAGACACCATTTAAGACGGTGTAATCAAACTTCATATGCAGATTCAAACTGACGAGAGCTATTCAACTGCATCAACATTTTTTGACCTTGAAATGGGTCAAGAGGTCGAATTTGGTGATATCTGAAGAAAAGTTTTGTCACAAGGAATATGTGAAATATGAAGGCCATAGCCCCACCCACTCAAAAGTTAGGGACAAGGTTAAAGTTTTTGCAGACAAATGGACAGACAGACAGGGCAAAAACTATAAACCTCCGAATCTTCCATTACATAGACTAGAAGTCTGGGTCAAATGCAATGTAAAGCTGGTATTTTTCATAAATGTTTTGTGAAAAACATAGCTATAGATCTTTAGCTTGCTATCCTGAAAAAAATTTCGATAGTCAACCAGAATAAACAAAGTCAACCATTGATAAAAGCATATATTTATCATGCACTAAAATTTTTAATCTATCAAGTTTGGTTTATTTTTATGATTGTCTTATAGAAACATATGTTTTATCATTTCTAGGTAACTTTACATCACCAGATGACCTTAATTTAATTATTGCAAGAAATACTCGGATGGAAATCTATGTGGTTACACCAGAAGGTTTGCGTCCAGTAAAAGAAGTTGGTATCTATGGTAGAATTGCTGTCATGGAGTTGTTCAGACCTCCTGTAAGTTCTGGGAAGAAATTTTTTTTAAATTAAATCCTATGAATAAGAATAGCAAAGTTGATGAAATTCGCAAGTTATTTATTTGTTAAAGTTTTTCTTAGATATGTGGGGTTTTTTTTCCAGGGAGAGTCAAAAGATTTGATGTTTTTACTGACACAGAGATATAATGCGATGATCCTGGAATGTAACCAAAATGGGGAAAATATTGACATTATCACAAGAGCACATGGCAATGTACAGGTATTAAGTTTTGTTGTCTGAGTTTCTCATTTCCTCAGATGTTTTTGCAAAACTCTAGTCATTGTGATCCAAGATTTATGTGTTGACTTACCATGTCCTTTTTCAAAAGGAGTAAATAAAAAAAAAAATGATATGAAGTCATTTTTATTCTTTCTTTTTACAAAAACGGACCAAAAAAGCCGCCTCACTAGGTGGAGATCCAAATTTGTTAAAATTGTAGATTTATTTTTTATTATAACATTTAACTCCTGTATTGTCTTTTGTAGGATAAAATAGGACGAGCGTCAGAGACAGGAATAATTGGAATCATTGACCCCCTGTGTCGGGTCATAGGTCTAAGGTTGTACGATGGATTGTTCAAAGTTATTCCGCTGGAAAGAGACAACAAGGAACTGAAGGCCTTTAATATTAGGTTTGATTTACTTCTTTGATTATTCCACAATACTTCATGGATTATATATGCATTCATTGACTTATTGTCATTGTAAGAAAGAAAAATTACATCTTTATAAATTTTTTGCAGGTTGGAGGAACTGACAGTTATTGACATACAATTCCTTCATGGTTGTACAACCCCAACTCTGATCCTCATTCATCAGGCAAGTCAATAAGGCTCACCAACTCTACAAAAAAAGAAATGCAGTCTCATTTTCATTTACAAAATCAGAGTGGTCATTTTGAAAGATATGTAGTGATGACCCCTGGCATGACTGGCAAATAATTTTTAGCTCAGATGGTTGCATGACCTTAAAATAATTTTGTAATAAAGTCAGGGTCAAGTTTCCTAAATGGATATGTTTGTTAATATCATAACCTTGTACATATATTAAAGGAAAAGACAAATGGTAGAATTTTATATTTTGCTTGATTTGACCAACATTTTCTTGATATTCTGATAATTTCTCTTTACTAGAGGTTTTCCAGACCATTAACATAGGTCATTTGGACGATTTGCCCTTTCAAAGGCACCAATTATACAGTGAAAACTGTCTAATCCGACACCGGAATAATCCGATACACTGTGAATTCCAATGTTTAATTTCGTTCCCAATTTATTGTTTTCCATGTTTTTTAAACTGTGCAATCCGACAGCCTGTCTATTCTGACACAAAATTTGTCTCCCAGTGCATGTCAGATTAGACAGGTTTCACTGTATTTTAAAATATTAATATGTCATGTAGAGATTGTAAAAATTTGCTTTTGATCACAAGCTAAAGCCTTAATACATTTTCTAAGTGTTTTTTTTTTATTATTATTTTATAGGATCAACATGGTCGACATGTTAAAACATACGAAATATCTCTCAGAGACAAAGAATTTCAGAAAGGACCATGGAAGCAAGACAATGTAGAAACGGAAGCATGCATGCTTATAGCTGGTAAGGAATTCATTACCGGCCACCAGGAGGCGGTCGGTTAGTTGATATGAAAGTTTTAAGTCGCCGTGCGTTTCTGCGGAGTTAGAACAATTTGAATAAAAATATTTAATAACATTCATATTATAGAATATTAAACAAAGATATTCTAAATGTTTAACAAGAACACAATAATCATAAAATAAAAAAAATTATAAATAATTGGGTAAATATTTTATCCAATCCTGATTGACAATTTCTGACATTACTGAAGTGCGGAGAAAATTAGCACGAAGCGTCTTATGTAGGCATAGTCTAAAACAAAGACCACGTTGCATCTCAACAATTTTATTTTCTCTTTTTAAACAGCCTAGACAGGATTTGTTGTACTTATTTCAAAATGCCGTGTATATTTATACATTTCCTATGGACATTTTTCAAAAATTTGATGAAATATTGATTTCTTAAAAGCACAGAATCGTACGACAATTTTGTCCATGAGACTAGGATAAAGCGCGTTTTTACAATATGCCAAGCATTTTCCCGCCACATTTCAACACCAAAACAAAGAGACTAAAAGAGAACAAATGTAGTGGTGGATCTAGATGGATTTGGGGGGTAGTTAACATCGTCTAAGAAAGTCCCACAGATTTCATATTTGTTCCGTTTAAATCAAAGTTAAACTATAGCTAAGTTTAAACTTTAGTTTTGTACTTAAATTATGTAATAATAAATTGCTTAAACATCAAACATCCACCAGAGTTCGTTTCTACAAAACGCAGAGGTCTATGGACAGTTTGCTTATACATGTAATTTTGTACATGCATTATGCATGAAGAAAATCGGCAATGTCGCATCCAAGTATTTCATGTCACGAGGATATTTAAACAGATAAATATAAGAAATTTTAAAAACAGATCACGCAAATTTCAGTTTCGAATTACTTTATCAATGGAAGAATTAATTGGTTTGCGGCCGATTTTTGACGCTTGCGTCAATATGTTTCTTGTTATAATGTGATTCCTATTCAAATTTTCTCTGTGTGTTTGGTTTTCCTGAATGAATGAATCTTTTCATTTCATCATAGTACCTGAGCCATTTGGTGGAGCATTAATTATTGGGCAGGAGTCCATTACATACCACAAAGGAGACAACTTCATTCCTATAGCTCCTCCTGCTATAAAGGTATTTCTATAGTTAGCTCACCTGAGCCGAAGGCTCAAGTGAGCTTTTCTGATCACATTTTGTCTGGCGTCCATCTGTCTGTCTGTCTGTCCGTCTGTCTGTAAACTTTTCACATTTTCGACTTCTTCTCAA